ATTAAACAAATAAATGTATAAATGCAGCTACTTTTGGGGCAGGTTCAGTGATTCCTGGGAGACATTCTGCAGTCTGAGTGGGTGGATATCATACAATGGAACATACATGTACAGATTTCAAAACTTTAGTCTTGTGCTTTTGGCCTTAAAAGCGAGGGTTGAGTTTATGCCTCAAAACTGATTCCAGTGTTCTTTCTTGCCAGTCTGTCTACAAGACAGTGTGTTAGCATTCTGGAAACACGGCATGCAAGGAAGGAGTTTCAGATCAAATGAGGTGAGTACTACATTTTGCTTCAAATTCTGGCTTCTAATGTAAGCCACGTGGAGGAGAATTGCACAATGCTGTCTGAAAAAGAGTGAAACATTTCAGTAACTTCCTAGGTTAGACCTAGCAGCTGGAGTCTCATTCTAGGCTTGTTTCAGAAGGAATAAAGCATTGGTGGAGCTGTACAAGAACCCCCTCACATCTGACGAGCAAAGCAGAAACAAGAGACCAGGCCAGGATGCCATAGAAAATAGCCAAGTCTAATTCTTGGTGATATTAATCTTCACCTTAAATTGCTTTGAAGACCACTGTCAGTTCCTTAGCCTCTCACATATGGATGCAAACATCTGGGCTTTGCCAGTGGTTCCACTGCTAAACTTCAGCTTTTTGTCACAGTGTCAATTGAGGTGCCTGATGTTTTTTAGTCTCTGCCATGTTCTCTTGGCTAAAAATACTTTGAAGAATTGCCCAGCTTACACAAGAAATATTTTTCCACCTTCAGTAGAAAAATACCAGATTGACTTAAACACGGTTGGTTTGGGTTTTTTTTTCGTAAAATCTCCTTGTAGTCACTTTTTTCAGCCCATTTGATGTGATTTTTAGACAGAGTTAAACCATTATAACTACCTTCCCAAATAGTTTTTATTTTCCCTTGGTGCAAACCCTGTGTACCTGTTAGTGAAAATGCTGTACTTTGTAGGAATTTAATGAGTCTTTTAATTTGATTATTAATGACTATTTACAAACATTGCCAGTTATTCCATCAGTGTTTCATTGGCTGAGAAATTCAGCTCATTGTGATTAATTGTATTTTAAGGTACACATACAGCCACGCCACACCAAGCTTAGATATCTCGCGTTGTTCCCGCACTACATTGATTTGCACAAAGTGTCAGTTGACCCAGTCTATGCTAACAGTGAGCCTGCTCTGTGTGAACCAAAGGCTGGAGTCGGACTGCTTCTTATTTCCAAGGTGCAGATGTTTATTTTGGCATTTGTGCATTGCTCTGCCCATTGGTAGAGCACTCAGCGGCTCTGCTCCAGCTGGGAGGGGCCATGTTCCAGTGTGCTGCAGCCCAAATTGATGCATTTTGTTGTTTATGTAAAGCATCAGGGACACTGGTTTGCTTTGTTGCTGTCAAGCCAAAGCCAGAACCTAAATGAAGAACTGAAAGCAGAACTGGGTTGTTAACAGAAAAGCAAGCCACCTAAAACTTCTTCTCTGTAGAACACATCTAGGGTAAGCTTCTGGGCCTTTTAAAATTCCTTATCTCTCCTAGCTGTCCCACTAGCTGCAGCTGTTAAAAGAAACAAACGTATTTTCTGCTGTAATATGAAAAGCCTTCAGTGCCAGGCTCAGGTCTTGACCATATTTGTTACTTTGGGGGAAATTTTCTGCTATATAATAGGTAGGAAGTTGTTGCATGGGACAAAAAGCTGACTAACTTGCAGCATTTTTTTCTTTGAAGACATCATTAGTTCAGATTCCCTATTCTAATACAGTTGGCCTAAGTGGGGATGACTTGAGCTGCTTGCAAAGTTTTTTCCTTCCACAACTGTGACTTTACACCATGGTTTGATCAAGTGTGAAAAATGAAAGAGGGAACTGTGAATTCTGACACAAGAAGTTCAAAATTTGGGCAAAGATTGTACAGCCTTAGCCTCACAGAAAGCAGAATTTAATTTTCTGAGAAGAGCGAAGGATTTCATTGCTGCGAATTAAAATTATCTTGCAAGTTCTCTGCACCAGAAGTGAATTCAGTAAGTCAGCTAACATTACTAGGGTCTGGGAAGGAGATGAGAATGTCTACTTTCCCCAAGTGTAAAATTTGGCTGTGTAGAAGAGGAGCTTTGTAAACAGTGCTGCCTGATCACAAAATGAGTCAATACCCCTTGGAGTATGCACTGGGCTTTGGTTGACTTCACTGATGAGCATGGCGATTTTCTGGGTGCTTTGGTAGTCATATGATCATAAAGATGTACCACACAAGTACAATTCACCAACAGAACACACAGGTGTGTTGCACTTGTCTGAAATGTCAAAAGTTGAAGTTTTCTTTTTGCAGGGGGTGTAAGTACCACAGATTAGTGCATTCTTACTATAATTCAGCATTTAAAATAAATGTGTTTTATCTGTGATTTGCTTGACCTATTTTTGTATATACACTCTAGAGTGATAAAAATTGTGCCCTATGTCTTTCAGCCATGGCTATAAAGAGAATTTGACTGGTAACTCAAGTACCAAGCTGAGCCCTGCTATTGTGCTTGCAGTGGCTACCAGAGGAATTCATGTAATGTGGGAGGAATTACAAAAAACTTTTATATCTTAGCTAAAAGTGACAGTTGCATTATAATCTCTATTGGATTTTAATTGGTAGTCAGTTGGTAACATCAGTCACAGTTAATTCTTTTCTCTTGACTAATGTTTAAAACAAAATGAAAACACTTGTGTTCTTAACATGTAAATATTTATTTTTATTGTCTAGATCACACAAGAAATTTCTGATAATACAAGGATATTCAGGCTTCTGGGATCTGACAGGTAAGATGGGAAGTAAACAGGACATACTAAAATAAAGGAATAATGTGTGTTCTCCTACCTTATAAAAGTTATTTTTGCATGTTTCTTGCAAATTCTTTTTTAGGTATCTTAGACATTCCTTTATGTACATGTCTCCATTTCAGTTCTTTACTTTTACTTTTCGCTTTCTTAAATTTAAAAAATTAAAGAATTTTAGAAGTGTTTGTGAGCTTCCAGAAGTACACAACCATGCAAGAAGCTCTTACTTGGCTGCTGACACAATCTCCAGGAGTGTTTTCCTTTTTGAATTGGAATTCTTTTGTTTAACTTGGTAAAATCTTTACTTTTAGATGTTCTGCAGCAGTAGCTCATCAAAACCTGCTTCTGGAGATAAACGCAATAAAATACTTTAAAAATTCAAGTGTCTCACTTTTACCCCAGAAAGGAAATATACCAGTTCTTCTCCCAACATGACAGTCCAGGTCTTGTAGGCGCTCTTGATAGCTCCTGGTGTAGCTGTTCCTTGGCATCTGCTTTTGGAACCTCTCTGTATGACCCAAGTGCTGTTTTAGGAGTGTCACTGACTTCCTCAACTTTCTCTGCCCTGGTGTTGAACTTTGTGGTTGTGTAAGAGCCACAGAAGCAGCAGCTGTTTTGTCTTCAGGGGAGTGCATGCTGATATGACAGTTCACCAGTAATGAACTGACAAGAACTGCAGAGATAGGCTTTAACTTTTCTTTTGAGAATTGCCTCTGTCTTACATTGCTTGCAGTAAACCGTGAGCTTGCTTTGAGGTTGGCATTGGTTTGAGGGGCTTTCGGACTAAAGGCATCCAGGGAAAGGGAAATAACGACAAGTCAGATGGATCCTAGGAAAGAATATTTAATTTAACCCAGGGTTGTTTTTAAATGAAGGATCACTTGACATTGTGGCTTTTTTTAATTTCCATTTTAGGGTTGTGGTGCTGGAGAGCAGGCCCACGGACAACCCGACAGCCAACAGCAATCTGTATATCCTGGCAGGGCATGAGAACAGCTACTGAGAGCAGCATGTGGCAGGCAGCTCGCTGTCAGGAGAGCGCCCTTGCTGCAGCAGCACTCGTGACTGGCTGGAATTGCACAAAAGCTGCAGTAACCCCACTTCAGTTACTTATAATTTATTATGGCATGAGAGGAAGACAAGAATTGTTTGTGGTATGGACGCAGCATTATGATACCACAGAAGTGCTTAATTTGCTGTTATGTAATCTTTGTACATATGCAGTATTTTTCAGTGAAACTTCTTGCTGAAGTCCAACACTGACTTTCTGTAGATAGAGGTCCTCCTGTTAAGTACAAGTGTCTTACCTGTACAGATGTAAAAGTCACTGAGGATGCAGAAATTAAATTGGGGTACTATTATAAGGATGTCTCATGTGTTTATTATAAAGTGGGATTCTAGCAACAAATATAGTACATTTAGCAACACTATTGTATTTTATTATATGTAATTTACTAATACAAATAAATATTAACTTTTAGAAATTGTAACCAAGGCTGTAATCAGATTACAATCTTGTTTTAATTTTAATACAACACACTGGTGTTCATGTTTGCACAATGTATTGAGATGTGATGTATTTAGTCACAAAGGTAAGCTGTGACTTTGTGGATATGACTTGGGCTTCAGAGTTCCTTTTTTTGTTTGGTTTTTTTGGGGGTTTTTTTGTTTATTTGGGTAGATTCCTTTGTGAAACAAACCAGTTAAACACCTGTATTTTTATATTTAATTAAAACTTTCCTTATGATTACTTCTCTATGCTTGAAAACAATACCTTATGGATGGGTGTCAGTCCCAGACTAGTGGTACCTGGCTGTAATTCTGCAATAGTTGTTTGAATTATTAGTGTATACAATGATAAAAAGTAGTTATTACTATTTGTCTTACTAAATAGTTTCATATCACGATGAAAAGGAGCAACATTCCACATTGTGGAAATGGCTCAGTGATGTTGCCATTTTGACTTTTTGTTTTTGGCCTTATAACCATTTTCACACTTTTCTTGATTTTAGGATGTTAACACATGGCCAAAATTTAGTTACTACCTCATTGAAACAATACAATGGTTACTACGCATCATGGGAACTTAGTTTTGATCAGAAGTATTTTTGATTGCTATTTTCCAGTGGAGTGTGTAAATGCCAAGTTTTAAGCAAAATGCACACATTTGACTCCTTTTTTTGTATATGTTCTTTATATTTTATTGTGATAATATACACTAAAACCAAACTAAATTAAAAGTGATTTATGGCCTGCGTTATTGTTGTGATGGGTAATGCTTTGAAATATGTTCCCTAATGTATATAATGTAAAATAAATTTTTTTAACATGTTGTTGTACAATTAGATTATCACCTGCACTGATTTTCCACATAAGACTAAAATGGAACATACCGAGTTTTCAATTCTGCTATTAAATGGTTCTGCCAAACACAGAAGCTGCGCGTCTCTGAATGTATGAACAGAGGTTGCTGGAGCTCCACTCGGTTTGGGTTGGCATCAATACCTTTTTGGCCTTTGGGCAGTGGAGTCTAGATTTGAGCTAAGTCTTTCCAAATTCCACCTTGCGTGGAAGAAATTCCCTCCATTTCCTGCTCTTCCACCTCTGTTGATTGCAAAGCTGATTTATTCTTTTTTTTTCAGCAGGTTTATTTTCTGCCTGTGGGCCTCAAGCTCACTGTTTCTGCCAGCGCCATCGTGGCTATTCCTTGTCCTGAGCCTCGGTTCACCCTGTGGGGGAAGAGGTGGTGGCACAAGCCTCACTGCTGAGCAGCTGAATTCTCAGAAAAGCTGAGTTGTGTGTGTTTCACAGCACCCTTGTGAAATCCCCAAGGGCGATTTCCATCCTGCCTCCTGTGGGCTGTTCCTCACTTGGACGTGCAGAAGTCACTCTGATTTGGCAAAGTGCACTACAGCTGATGTGCTGTGAATGTGCTTCCTCCTGGGGGGGTTCTCTAGCAGCTGGGGCCAGGTTCCTTAGGCCATTGCTGAATTATAGGCACCAGAGGTTAAGGGCTATTAGTTTTTACTCTCCTTGAGCATTTTTGGTGTGAGCATGCATGCAAGGATGCAGTTGGAAGGGCCGAAAGTAAAGAGGACAGAGCAGCGGCAGGTGGGAAGAAGGGAGCATTGTGCTAGGGTAGGCATGTTTCCAGTCTAGTGGTAAAAACACAACAGCTCTGCTTTTCCCATGCTGCTCTCCAGCCTCGAAGATTGCATGGAAAAATAGCTGGTAAAAATAGGGAGTGTGCCCAAACCTCTTGCTTCCCTCCAAGGAAACACACCTACAATGCAGGAAGGCCTGTGTCATCTATGAATGGTGTAGAAGAAGCTGGAGAATCTCTGAGGAGGGAAACAGCAGTTCCTTTAGGATGTGTGGATACATCTGATCAGGTTGCATGGACTTGTGCACCTTCAGGTGCTTTAGATGGCCTTGAACCCCATCTTCACCAGCAGGTGATTCTTCTGTCTCCCAGGCCGTGCCTTTCCCTTCTGCAGCCTGGGCAGTGTGGCTGGAGCACATCCTGGTGGAGACAGGGGCAAAAATGTAATTCAGCACCTCAGTCTTTGTCCAGAGAGGGCCTAATTTTCCATAGTGTTCCTTGTTATCACCCACATACCTGCAGAAGCTTTTCTCTTTGTTCTTGATGTTTAATTCTCTCAGAGGTTTTAACCTGATCCCTGGCTGCTTGGACGACCTCTCTGTATTCCTGCCAGGCTTCAGCTCCTGCTTCCACCCTCCATAGGCCTCCTTTTAGTGTCTAAGCTTGTCCAGGAGTTCCTCGTCCATCCACACAAGGTCTTTGGGAATATTTGTCCAATTTCTTGTCTCAGCCGAATCCATCCCTTGTGTCCCAGCCCGATCCATCCCTGTGTCCCAGCCCGATCCATCCCCGTGTCCCAGCCCGATCCATCCCTTGTGTCCCAGCCCGATCCATCCCGCTGTCCCAGCCCGATCCATCCCGCTGTCCCAGCCCGATCCATCCCCGTGTTCCAGCCCGATCCATCCCTTGTGTCCCAGCCCGATCCATCCCCGTGTCCCAGCCCGATCCATCCCCGTGTCCCAGCCCGATCCATCCCTTGTGTCCCAGCCCGATCCATCCCCGTCCCAGCCCGATCCATCCCTTGTGTCCCAGCCCGATCCATCCCTTGTGTCCCAGCCCGATCCATCCCTTGTGTCCTAGCCCGATCCATCCCTTGTGTCCCAGCCCGATCCATCCCCGTCCCAGCCCGATCCATCCCTTGTGTCCCAGCCCGATCCATCCCCGTGTCCCAGCCCGATCCATCCCTTGTGTCCCAGCCCGATCCATCCCTTGTGTCCCAGCCCGATCCATCCCCGTGTCCCAGCCCGATCCATCCCCGTGTCCCAGCCCGATCCATCCCTTGTGTCCCAGCCCGATCCATCCCCGTACCACGCGCTCCCGTCGGTTCCAGCAGCGGCCATTCGCCCTCCCGCCGGCGGGGGGCGCGCGCGGCCGGCCCGCCACTTCCGCCAGGAAGGCCGCGGCCGCGCGTGACGGGGCGCAGGCGCGGGGGGCGCGGGGTGCCGCCGCTCCGCGCATGCGCCGCGGCCGCCGACGGAGCGGGCGAGGACGGGACCGGGGAGGCGGCGGCGCTCGCGCTCCGACCCCGCCCCTCGCGGCCCGCGCGCGACCCCCGCCGCGCCGCGCGCCCCCCCCGCCGCCCCCGCCGGCCGGGGCGGGGAATGCGGCAGCCGCCGCACCCCCCCGCCGCTGCGGGCCTGCCGCCCCCGCCGGCGGCGGGGGAGCGCCGCGGCCCCCGCTGAGCGCCGCCGGGCCTCCCGCGCGGCTCCCGGCCCGCCCCGGCGGCACCATGCAGGCGCAGCCGCTGCTCTACGAGTTCTTCAGCGAGGAGAACGCGCCCAAGTGGCGGGGGCTGCTGGTGCCCGCCCTCAAGAAGGTGAGGGGCGGCCGGGTGCCCGTGCCCCGGGTGCCCGGCCGGGAGTCGGGCTGGGCGCCGGGCGGGCCGCGGGGCCGCTCGGCGCGCTCCGGGAGCGGCTCCGGGCTAACGGGGCTCGGTCCGCACCGTCCAGCGGCGCAGGCGGCTGCCGCGGTGCTGCCGGGCCCCTCCGCGCCGGGGCGATGCTCTGAGAGACCGAGCCCTGTAAATAAACACCGTGTGACGGGGGGATTGTTATGAGCAGCTCCTGAGAGAATTTTTGTTAATTAGTGTTCGTGTCTAATGGCTTTTAGTTAACCTTCTCGTAGTTTAAATGCCTTTTTGCTGAGAAGGCTTAATCAGGACAAACTAGCAAGTCTTGCTCCCTCAGGACGGTGAGGCTTGTGCCTATGGCATGGAAAGAATTTATTCGGAAGAGAGGGTCCATCCTGAACCCAGAAAGTGCAAGGCTTAAGAAACAAGTTTTCTGACACTGTTACTTGAACTGGCTTCAGATTGCAGAACTTCACCTGGTTTAGTCCTGCACGGCAACACCTTGTGAGTTACTGTCTAGTTACAGCGATTAACTGCAACTTTTGCCTGAAAGGCTCCTTCCTTGGGCTGGTTGAGAGGTTCTCAGGTGCTGCAGTTCTACCGTGCAGTATTTCTTCCTAATTCCCCCTTGCAATGTACTGCCTCTCTTTTCTGGGCATGCTCTTTGAGGTCTACAGCATTGTGTGGCTTTGTCCGGTTCTTGGAAGTCTTTTTACTTGTCTCATCTGTAGCACGTCCTGTTAGTGTCTTATCCCTGGATAGTTACTTTCTTGAAACTTCAGCACTTAGATGGCTCACTTGTGGTACTTGTGAGCACTTGGACACCCATCCAACTGAAGCCTGCTTGGAAACTGGAGCTACCCAGCATCCCAACCACAGAGAGCTTGTTCCTTTGGAGGATGGTTTATTCCATGGTGCAGCAAATGTTTGTCAGATTTGAAAGGAGTCTCAGTGCTGACAACTGGAGTACGCAGAGCGAGGATTCAAAGCAAGCAAGCATTAAAACTTTGGGATAACTTGTGACATCTGAAGTGCCAGATTTCTTCCTAGCGGACAAGCCATTCATAAAGTCACCCTGCTTTAAAGATGATTCCTGAAGGAGTTGGATGAATTCTGCAGTGGGAAAAGGAATTTTGGAATCTGAGGAGAAGGCCAACGAGGACAAGCTACCAAGGATGACAAGCTAGCCCTACAAGGTATAGTTGTATTGGTTTTGTCTGCTCTGTTTCTCTTTGTGTGTAGAGGGGTGAGAGGAGGCAGGTGGAGTTAGTTCTGAAGGCTTCACACTGAAACTTGTAACTGTCTGGCAGGTGTTTTTCTTTTGACCTCAGCTTTTCATGAGATTGCTAGCTTCTTACCTTCTCTCAGACTGTTGCTGCTTACTACTGCTGTTTTTGTAAAGATGGAAATAAAGAATCTGTCTTGATTGTCACCAGCTTTACTGAAGAGCCAAATACTTGAGTTACAGCAAAACTAAACGGCAGATGAAAATTTTAAATTATTATCTTATTGTCTTTTTCATTAATGGACAAACCGTATTGTGTATTTTCCTAACATGAGAGAGGTACAGATAGTTTTGAGTAGGGTGTTTTGCCCTGATAAAGGCCCCTGAAGTAGTGAACCTGTCACGGGTGGCATGAACTTGTCGTGAGGGGTTCATTCGTCTGCCGCGGTTCACAAGGCAGGTGCAACACTGCAGCATTGCAGTCACTGATCCCTGGGGTAGCTCACCAAAGCCCTGAGCTGCACCTGCAGGCCAGCACGTGGGTGAAGTGGAGAGGGTGGCAGCATTTCCCAGTGGGGTCAAAGAGCAGGACTGTCCTGGTGACTTTGCTGAATTGCCAGAGCATTGCTGTCTCAGTAGGAGTCGTATTTTTGGAAGCTCATATATGTCCCACTGTTGCTAGAGGAGAACCTTTCCTTCACTTCTCCCTTAGCTGACCAGATGCTGATACTCATTCTTAGGTAGTGATAGGAGCTGAACTCTACCTGAAACCAGGTGGTTGTAGAGGGACAATTGTGATTATTTCCTGCACAGCTGGAAATTAGACTTAACAGTTTGTGGAGACCTGTGTTGAATTAATAGGTCCATTGAGGAAAGTGGCATTTAAGTTAACATTGTAAGAGCACATATTCCAGTATGGAGTGTTTGCAGCTTTCAGGGAAAGCTGCCACACATGGACTGAATCATTAAAATGCCATTGCCCTTTTGTAACTGTGAGTTGGCTTCTAATGCAGTGCTCAAACTACAGCCTTGGGACCGCTTTCTTAAAGAATGGGTGTTGTTGAATCATTGCAGATAGCTTTCTTTTTCCCAATGGATTATTTTGATTCTATTTTTAATCAAGCAGCAAACCCAAGAATATAGAGTAAGAATAAATCTCTTCCCACATCAGGCATGAACCTTAGCAGTAGAGCTGCATTTGCTTTGAACAGTTGCATTTGCAAGGAGCAGTTCTTGTACCAATGAGATCATAATGTAATCCCTTGTCCTCTGATTCTTCTTCAGATGCTGTCAAGATAGACTCCAGTGCACTCAATTAGGAAGAAAATTATGTCAACTGAGATTCTTCTCTGCCTGGACACAGTTATTTTGAAACTGCAAAAGAGGAGTGTTGCAGGGATCTTTGTTTGCAGGCGAAAGGCAATAATCATGGTGATGAGGTACAAGAAAAGGAAGGAAAGAAGAAAGAATAACAACAGGTGACTGAAATTGTAGTTGCAAGGATGGACAGAAGGTGAGATGCTGAAGATGAAGGATCCAAGACATTTGAAACACCAGAGGTCTCGGGTACCTGGAGACAGAGATACACAGCTTTTAATACACCTTGGAAAACAGACTAAGGAGTGACACCTGCTATGTGATGCCTCTTTCAGCACTGGTGTCCTCTGCTAGTGAATTTACACACTTTATTCTGAATAGTTTTTCTTGAACATCATTCCTTATGGCTTCATCTTGTGGGTGTAAGTTGTTCATGCAGTCAGAATTTCTCTGCACATGTATGATGCACTTGTTCCCTGGTCCATTGGTTTTGCAGTAGGAAGCTTGTCATCATTACTGATGGATACCTGAAGCCATTTGATGATGGAGAAAAACAAAAGAATGTTCTGCTCCTTGCATACCTCAAGTTGTTTTGAATCAGTTGAGCAATTGACCAGGGGTACTGCTGGAATTTGTTGTGGTCAGAATGATTGGACTGGTGTGGCTTGGCAGCTGAAGGGATTTGCTTCCTCAGTTAAGTAAACTGTTCCTGACAGCATGCTTCCAGGGACTCCATGTGTCATCTGGACCTCTCGTGGAGCAAAAGACATGGGAAAAGCTGCTTCAGTCACTACAGAGTTCTCAGGAAGCTGCTGTTAACAAAGATATTTCTACTTGATTTTTAATTACCTGGCTCTTGAAATTAGTGACAAACCAGTTGCCACTTGCTACTAAGAATGGCACTCCTTACTCTTAGCATTGCTTCACACAAGATGTTGAACTTTCTTAATTTCTGGTCACTTTGTGTCATCTGTTCTTCTGATGGCTGTGGAGGATGAAACTAAGAACCTCCTACAGCTAAAGTCTTCACTGCATGACTTTTTTCACCTGCTCAGTGGAGCAGTGTAATACTGCTGCCCTTTTGAGACATCAGCAGAAACGTTAGCAAAAATCCACGTCCTGCATCCTTGGTGAATTGTTGCTGAAGAGTGCACCCTAGACATTTGTATTTTATTTAATTTCCTGTATTTTTAATTGATCAAGGTAACAAAACATGGTCAGGTTACCAAATATCAGCAGAGATGTACAAGAATAGAAGAAAAAGCTTTTTAAGGAGTGCTGACTCTGTAAGAACACTCATCCATGCAAGGTGTACATAAAGTACTTTGTCCTGGAGTGTTTAGTGGTAAGCTTGTTAGTGGTTTTTTAGTCATTGAGGGAAAATAAAGGATGTGTTGAGAAAAATGAGAGTTACAGCATTAGTGAAGACTTTCAAAGGTGCTGAATTGAAGAAAATTCTTTCCAGAATGATCTCCTCTGTTGCCAAATTTGTTTCTGTGATGGATTATTTCTACTAATAATCCATATCCAAAGGTTTAGAAAAAATCCAGTTTAGAACTTCTTGCAGTCAGTAAAGCGTTACCTTCTCTGATAATGCTTTGGAGGGTGGCTTGGCATGTTATCTCATTACAGAACTCCTTCCATGATTAGTATGATGTGGTAAATACAATGCTTTTTTCCCTTTAGACCGTTTTTTACAAGCCCTTCAGCTGTCACCAGGGCAGACTGGCAGCACAGCCCATGCTCAGCAGTGAAATACAGTTGTTCTTCGCAGGAGTTGTTTTTTGGTTCATGATTTGACTTCTTGCAGTACAGGGATAGTCTTGCCCAGTTATGAAATGATTACCTGCAGTTGATGCTTCATTTTTACTTCAATTTGTTACATAGCTTTAGAATTATTTCCTTTAGAATTCCTTTAGAATTGTTTCCTTTTGTTATGCCATTTTCTGAAGCCGCTGGAGCTTCTGCTGCTCCTGATGGGCTCAGGTCCGGTATTGTTCTCTGAAGCTGCAGGATTTGCCTGGTGTGTTCTGTACTTAACAGAACACCTGTGAGCCTGATTGTGGTGATTGTTAATGATGATTTTTGGGAGCATAAAGCTGGTGTTCATGTAAGCTATGTGAAGTTGCTTTAAGAATTCTTTTGGAGGGAGGTTTTTCATCCTGAATTGAAATTTTTCAGCTTACAAGCAACCTGTTGGGCTTTTTCTCATGGTCACTGAGGAAGAGGTAACTGAAAACTGTTGCTGAGGATATATCACTCAGATTGTTAAATTCACTGTATCTTCTTTCCTTTTCTATTATCAAACACCTATTTCTAGTGCAGAACAAACGGTTGAGTGTCACTCTAGATTGGGGTTTAGGTCATCTTGTGACCAAGCTTGGAGTTGTTGTGTTGGACCTGTTGGGGGACCAAGCCTCTGTCTAACCCAAAGCAGTGAGATCTGGAGTACTTTAAAAGAAATATTTCTCAGGGTTTGGTTTAAAGTTCCTACTGCTCCCCATGAGGCTTGTGGGAATATTTATATTCTAATTTATTATAGAGAGTTTGTAAAAAAATGGTTTGAGAAGATTTTATGTAAAATAAGCTGCTATGGGTTATTAAGTAAAGATCAGCTATATTTGTATTATACATTAATCACTTCCTTCTTTATTGTTGATTTCGTTGACTATTTCTGCCAGTTTAGATTTATGGCTGCCTAATTTTTAAGCTCTTGCTGTTCCTGATAGAAGTACCTTGCTTTTGTGGGTTTTAAGGGAAGAGGACAAAAAAGATGGGGGAAAAGAAGCCAAGTGTTCATATTGTAGAATTTTCTTTTAATTAGGTTTTTTTTTAATTTTTTTTTTTTAAGCAGGCACTGTTTGTCTCTGCTGATGTTCTTAAGCAGATCCTGAAAAGCTGTTCAAGAAATGCTGGCTCTGCTTATCTTTAAATAAAGAAAACTCTGGCCATTTCTCTTCTAAGAATTAGGAAAGATTGAGAAGATTGGATATTCAAAAAAGTGAATACATGAGTTGAGTGAAAACAGCCATGGTGGCAGGGATTAGTAGCTGATGTAGGTTATATTTGCCCTTTGGAATTTATGGGCTATTTTGAAGACTTGAAGCTTCTTTTAAAAGTTTCTAAACTGCTTTTTTAGTAATTTCCTTTATCATAAGATAGACATTTTATTGTGTGTGTAGGAGGGAAGGGAATGGTTCTGTCATGATTTAAGGGAGAGGTTAAGTGTTTAGATAAGAATCTGATCTAAACATCACACTTCAGAAGTTGTTAGTCTGTTTTTATCATGTGTTTTCCTAAGTGGGATTGAAGGATCTGGTGGGATTCAAGCCATACTCCTCCTTTTCAAGGGTGATAAGGCAGGGTGGCCCAGGCTTTTTAATTTAAAATCTGAGATGACTTTATGAGAAAGATGGAAAACCCCTGGTAATTCGATCTTCTCTTTTTTTTTAAACTAATCATGTGATGGTTTATGCTAACAGATGTTCTCATTTCTTGTCTCCTTCTACTAAATCTTTCATCTTACCCAGTCTTGCATCATGTCTTAGAAAATGGACTTGGGATTTGCACCGAGTACACTCAAATAACACTCTGTCATTCTCAGTCTGAGCCTTTGGGTACTGTGGTAGTGCAGATACTGAAATTACACATTTCTGTGATAACTTGTGCACCAAACCATGCTGTACGTTTCCTTGTTAGTCTGGTTGTTTTCTTTTTTTCACTTGTATGACTTTGAACCCTAACTGATACTAAGTGTCACGTAGCAATGAAGGTTATTTACCATCTACTTAATATAGATAAGCATTGCTGGCAAGCCAGTGGCAGCTCATGATGTTTTCTTCTGCCAAGGTGGATGTTCTGTTAAAGTGGAGCTGGGCAGTAGCCTTTGAGAAGGATGTTGTCACTGTCCCCAGACAGAAATGCTTAGGGAAAATGAAACTTTTATCTCCTGAACTCGGAGTAGGTTATCATTGTTGACTCTGTTTTGGCTGACTGTGGATCATGTTTCAGGTTATGGCCTGATGTGGTATTTTTGTTTGTTTGTTCTTATTCTTATAGGCTGTGTGTTACAGACCAAAGGAGTTGTAATGAGGTGATTAAAGCCTAGTCTGTTTTCTACGCAAAGGAGAAAATAGAGCTGCTCTTCATCACTCCAGTTCATCATGCTCTGTATTTTTGCAGGGTATTTTTGTTGAATTTGCTTGATAATTTAACACTTATTGAAGTACAGAGTACTGGAGTATAATATAGGGACACTGTAATACAAATCTGTTCAGTTCTGCTTTAAAAGAAGCACACATTAAAGGCAGCATCTTCCAGACAGCTCAGATCAGCTCTGCTCTTTAAGAGATCACTTTGGCAAGTCTGTAATTTCTTGTGTTAAGATGTTCCAAGCTGGTACAGTATTTCAGATGTCAGTGTTTGAATTGTAAATAATGTTTGGGTCTGCCTGGTCTGCTGTTATTTGTGTAACTCCACAAACACACTCTAGCTGTGCATAGCGAAGTTCTTAGGAAAAGTGAAACTGTTGGCATAATCAAAATAGTTGTGTTAGCTAGTCAAATGGAGAGAAGTTCTTCTGTTCTGTTTTTCCCAGACTGCTTTTAAGTTTAAAAAGCAGTGACTTCTGGAGGTGTTTTTTAAGACCTACTGAATAAGGGTGTGCAGTCTGCAAGAAGCCAAATGCGTGATCCAGTGTATTTGAATCTCAACAGCAGTTAAGTGAGCACCAGGACTATGCCCAGACATGAAGCTTTCAGACTAATGAGTGCCTTAGCAGGCAGGTGGATTTCTGTTTGACGCTGTTGTGTGTTTGAACTTCGTAACATTTAGTTCTTGCTATAACTGCAAGCGGGAGTTAAGACTCAGGTGTGAAATTAAATAATTATGGCAGCATTATATGAATATAGACATGGGTTTAACATTTGGATGAGGCAGATTGTGGGGTTTTGCTTCAGAGTTGTTAGGCTCTCATGTTAGTGATTGAGAGAACTGAAGGCATTTTGAGTTTTGTGCAGGGGAACAGTAAAATGATGAAACTGGGGCTTGACAGATGCATTTAGAAAGTCAGCAGCGAGCTTGCTCTGGCACAATATTTGCCATCTGCGTAGAACTGAGATTAAACTGTTTGTTTACATTCTGAAGCACTGAGCTTTTTGTACCTGAAATTTAGGGTGGTTAAAACTGTGCTAATTTGTGAACTACAGAAGTGCAAAGAAAAAGTATACTTCAGGTTTCAGAAGTTGCATGACTGTCTAGGAAAAAAATTGAATGAGTAAGGGGGATTGTTCTTTATTGAATTTGCTCCAGTAAGAAATTAGACACACTTTTGACATACAGGTAAACATACTGGGACCAAATTTTCAAAATCTCTCAGCTGCCACTTAATGCCAGGACAACACTGCGGCCTTATTTGAAGTGGTTTTTTCCTGCTCTAGAGGCTGACATATTTTTAAAAAAACACTACAGAAACAAACTTCTAAGTGAATCTTATGAGTGCTGACTCAGCATGGATTCAGTAATTTGAAATAATAAATGCTACTGAAAGCATTGTTCCTGTAGTGTGCTCAGTGAAAAATATCCTGTATTTCGTTGTTATGGATTGTGTCAAAGGGAGAAAACCCCCACTGCTGAAGCCTCTTGCAGAAACAGTGGTTAAAGAGTTAGTGGAGAAGATAAGTATATGCAAGGGCTTTAAAAGTTTTCCTAATTGCACTGCTAAGCACAGTTATTAATTAAACATTTTCTTGACATTAAATATAATTTATAGTGATTTGAGTATATAAAGCATTTGAGATTTATAGTTCTGTAAGGTGCGAGGCTTTCACTCATGTTTGTCTGATGGACCTTAACAGAGCTACATTATTGTATTTTTCTGGGCTGTTTGGCTTGGGTTTTGTCATCTTTTTTCTGCAAGTAAAGCATGTGGTTTGGGGAAGAATAAAAGTCCAATCTTAAATTCTTCTTTCTTTTAGGTTCAGGTGCAAGTCCATCCTAAGCTTTCCTCTACTGAAGATGCATTGCAGTATGTGGAGGAGTTAATTCTTCAGTTGTTAAATATGTTGTGTCAAGCTCAACCAAGAAGTTTTCTGGATGTAGAGGTATAGAGAACACTTACTACAAATGTTATTGGAAACAATTTGAACTATTACATGAAAGCTACTATAATAACCATTGCACAATGCAAAAAGGAAAGCAGTAATTATGTATCTTTATGTAGCACAGTCTTCTGCATAAAGCTTACTGAGTTCCCTAATAGCTCCTTTTCCTATTAATTGAACTTGTTGTTCCATGCACAGCAAAATTATCTGTGAACTGTATTACTTTTCAATAGAAGGTGAGTGTAATTTTTGCATATTAAGCTGATGGTTCCTTTCAAAAGACCTTTTTTTCCCACTGATATTGTATGCAAACTACAACTGCTTAGTCTGAGGTTCTGTGCTGCTTTATCAGCATGGTAATTTAGGCTGATATTTCCCCTGCTGTCCCAGAAATTAAAACAAAAACAGTCAGTCACTTCTTCAGAAAGAGTTTAGGAACACTTCTTTCCTCTGTAGAGAAACGTCGTCTCTTACGGTTGCCCCTTCAAAGATCTACAACCTCTGCTGCTCAGCAGAGCAGCTTAATGTTTAAGAAGAGACATTGAGGTGAAAAGTTTTTCCATCTGAGGAACAAGTTAGTGAAGCTGTATCACTTAAATTTGTAGGACCATGAATACCTTGGTAGCACTTGGTGCTTACCATGATTTAAAGATTTTGGTGCCAGGCTACAGAGTCTGTGTGCCTGTTGGTTTCCAGTGCTTGATGCCAGGGCCTGTCCAAGTGACTTCCTCATGTTCTGGAGAAAGTGGACTACTGGCAAATAAAACCTCGCTGACAAAAAAACCTTAAAAAGATGGCTTCTTACAGCACAATATTGATGAATTTCATCCTTCCTCTTCCCTTTTGTTTGAACACTGACACCTCCAGTGGTGTTCCAGTGTCCACTTTAATGCTGATCTGTTCTGCAACGTCATTCTGGTCTGGCAGCTCAAGAGACAAGAGCTTTGGGGAAAGTGGTTTATGCTGTTTTAGACACTGGCAAAAACCTGGACACAAAGTGTTGTATTTTGAGTCTTACGGCTGTGAAGGCAGGAGAAATGCAAAAAGTAGAGATGATCAAGCAACTGCCATTTACCCCCTTGGTGTTCATGCACAATGATGCTGTTTTTAATTATATGATCGAACACATTCCTTTTTCCCCTGGGACACCTTCATTGTTCAGTCAGCAGACTAGGAGTGTGAATTGGTATTAGACCAGAATCAGACTTTTTTTCGTAGGACCTCTGCTTTCCTTTTGCGAAAGTGTTATGAGGGAAAAAAAAAGCCTGCACTTCAAAAAATTGTGTATTGCCTCTATAGAATAGTATTCTGTCGCTATTTTTTTGTTAGAAAGTTTTTGTCTGTGTACTTTTTCCAGTGCCAGCCCTCTGTAAGTGGTCATTAACTTTGTCTTCCTCATTTCATGGTTACTCAAACAGGAGCCATGTTTACATATGTGAGCACTCTCAACTGAAACAGTCAGTGGGAACTGTGGTCTGAAAAAATAAAATGTGAAGTTATGTAAGAAAATAAATTTCTGGCATCTGTGGATACTAGGGCTACAAAAAAGAACGTCCAGAGACCTGTTTGTGAGTTCTAGCTGGAGAGTTATTTAATGCATGGGAGTGTGCAGATGTCCTCAGGCACTGCTGGAAGGAGTAAATAAACTGGGCCATGTCTGGCCCACCTGTAGCCTGAAACTGGTTTAGAATATGTGAGTGCTGTTGGACATTTTCTTCTCCTGTTACGTTCATTGTCATCATCAGAGCAGTTTGCATGTGTTCCAAGTGGACCATGTGCTGATCAGTAAAGGCAAAACTGAAAGCTTGTTATAATTTCATTCGGTGACCATCCTGTGCAGGGAATAAAGTGTCAGGTATGTAGTCATGTATTCAAATACCAAGTTACCAGGCATGGACACAAGGGGAGCAAACTGTGTTTTCAGTTGCAGCTTAATTCTTAAGTTTTGAGCAGTAGATAATTCTCTGATAATGATACCCTGAAACAGCCTTATGAATGTAGTGAGCAGCATGTACTAAGATGATAACATTTACACATCTTGTATAAGCTTTTATAGTTGAAATACAAATATTAGCAACCATTTATTTGTTAAATAATAGAAAGCAGTTTGATAACACAGTTACATTGCTGAGATCGTTCAGATGGTGCATTTACTCCTTGGTCATGTTTTCTTGTGTTAAGGATCGTGTTCAAAAAAGTTTCCCCCATCCTATTGATAAGTGGGCAATAGCTGATGCCCAGTCTGCTATTGAGAAGAGGAAACGAAGGAATCCATTATCTCTTCCAGTAGAAAAAATCCATCCCTTGTTAAAGGTAAGCAGTGATGGAATCTTGCTTTCAGAATGCAGTTAGAGGTCAACCCCTTTGTTTCATGTAATGTCTGTGTGCTGCCTGAACTGTGAACTAAAAGAATTAAGAATATGTGTGTTTGTTGCACAGTTCTAAGTGTTCCAGTTAATGGAATATACTTATTTCTGAGTTAAAAATAACTTAATTCTCTCCTGGATGAACAAGGCCAAGAACACATTGTATAAGTTTGATTGTTTGTGTTTCATTTTCCATGACTAAGAAAACACTAAAGAATCTTGTGCAAATAGCCCTAAATGTTTAGGTGAGGTTTTTGGGACAGTTAGTTGGCTCTTGGCACTTCCATGTTTAATAGAGCAGCATCTGCAATGTCACAGTTTTCTCTCTAGGCCTACACACTCCTTTGTTTCAATTCCTAAAATAGGCTGTGAATATGTGGTGAGTCTTTATTGAGCAGGGTCTTAAGCTTATTAACTGTTTTGAGTTGTCATCTACAGTGTCTGTTTCGTCAGTTGAATAACAGTGGAATGTTTTTTTGTTTTCTTTTTTTTTCCCTTTTTAGGAAGTTCTAGGCTACAAAATTGACCACCAAGTGTCTGTTTACATAGTAGCAGTATTAGAATATATTTCTGCAGACATCTTAAAACTGGTTGGGAATTATGTGCGGAATATAAGACATTATGAGATTACAAAACAAGATATTAAAGTAGCAATGTGTGCTGATAAGGTAAGCCTAACTCTGGTCTGTCAAGTTAACAAACAACTAAATCTGTAGGTAACTTTGAGAGGACGATGTCTTTTTCTTAGTGAGTACATGGAATATTTTATCTTCCAAGAAGAAATTAGTGTCATAAAATAGAGCTCCAGTAATGGAACAAAACTACCAGGAAGCTAATTGAGCTTATAAAGCTCTTGATTGTGCTTATTAAATCTCTCTTGATTATACCTGCCTAATGTCAGCAACATGTGAATGCTTTAAAAATTACTGTGAAGCAGCACTAACTTAAGACTGTATTGCATGTAAAAAGTAGTGTTTCAATGGGTCAAACAAAACCCCTCTCTCCTTAGCATCTCAGCCCAATTTTCCTTAGTAGAGAGACATGGGCCTAGTGAATACAGCCTGGAATCCCCTAGCAGTGTGCTAGAAGGAAAGTTAGAAATGGTGGGGTCTCCTTGACTACTTGGATTATTCCATGTGATTTCCTACAGTAGTGGTGCTGTAATGTCCCATGCCCCAGAATTAGTTAGGATTCTCATTTTAACCCAAGTTCTTTGTACAGTCACTGACTCTGAAGCCTGAATCACCTTCTGTTCTTAGACCTTCAGAAGTCAGGCTTCATGCAAAATGTCCTGTGTTTTTCTGCTTTTTGAGAGTCATTGTAATGACTCCTGGCTCACACACCACATTTGGAAGAAGTGTTCAGTGATACACTTTTGTTGAGAACTTCAAATTACTGATTGCTTGTGTTTGGTAAACCTTGCTTGGGTATGAATTGTGATCTCTGGTAGTCAGAATGTTTAGAGTTCCTGTTACGTGTGTAGTTCTGCAACAGGACTGGTTTCTGAAACTGCTGCCCTTTTTCAATGGCTCATTTTAACAAGAGAGTTCAGCAGTTAAGGACAGAAACTGGGCCATGTGCAGTCTGTGGACAGGCCAGTGTTCATTTTAGGTAGATCACGGGGTTCTGAGCATGTGTGAGTTCCTGGTAAAGCTAAAGCTGAAAAGCCAAAATACACACACACTGCTGAGTCAGAGCAATAGAACACAGCTAAATGCTAATTGTTTTTGTGTACTTCACCTTTTAAAATTGTAATTTATTTTAGGACCACATTCTTGGAGAGATGCCTGGATTGGTCTAAGTGACTGGGAGTCTTCAGAAATTGCCATGCAAACAATGACTTGCAAATTCATAACAATGGATGTTGGTTTTGTAATACTCACCTGATTGCAGAATGATAATACATAAATCTTACTGATTATCAGTCTGATTTCATGGGAATAATAGTCTTTCTTTATTGGTAACTTACTAGTCAATCTCAAAAAGAGGGTCTCATTTTGTGGATTTCCCTCTCTTTGCTGCCTAGGTATTAATGGATATGTTCCATCAAGATGTAGAAGATTTAAGTGCACTAACTTTATCTGATGAAGAACCCTCCACCTCAGGGGAGCAAACCTATTATGATCTAGTGAAGTCATTTATGGCAGAAGTACGGCAATATATAAGGGAACTGAATCTCATTATCAGAGTTTTTAGAGAGCCATATGCCTCCAACTCTAAACTGTTTTCATCTCATGTAAGTATTGTACAAACCACAAACACAAAAGACACCTACTATGATATCTGTAAAAATATAGATGGATACTTCCCAAACTTAACTGTTGTTGAGTTTAATGTATCAGCAGTAGAAAAAGCACGTTTCTTGGGTTCTGATATGGAAATAGTAAAAGAGCACTTGCAGGTTCTACTTGTAGGACTGTGGAAGAAACCTTCTCATTTACTTATGATCACTTACAGGCCTGCAATTTTAATATCTCTCACCGTTCTTTGCCATGTTTCAATAATGTACATTTTATATGTTTTTATATATTCATTATTTTTAAAATACATTTTATGATCTTACATAAATCACAGAAAAAGTATGTTATAAAATGATTGTAAAATCTTGTTCTTTTTAAGGAAGTTCTTGACTTTCACATCAGAACAGAATAGCTTTACACATTTGACTTCTGTCTTGTCTTGTTGCAGGATGTAGAAAATATATTTAGTCGTATATCAGACATCCATGAACTTAGTGTGAAGTTACTGGGTCATATAGAGGACACTGTTGAAATGACAGATGAAGGTAGTCCTCACCCACTAGTAGGCAGCTGTTTTGAAGATATGGCAGAGGTAAGAGAATGGTGTTGTGGGTTTTGGTGGGTTTTTTGCTATTCATATTTTAATACTTGCAGCTAGATATCTGTTCCAGCTGGCTTTCTTCAGTTTCAGATCTCTTCTTCCAGCCCCACTGTGATGAGTAGACTATCCATTTTTTAAAGTGCTCATATATTTTTAGTCTCTAAATCTCAGATTTTGGAGTGGCTGTTTAAAGTTCAGAGAGTAGAGGTGAAAAAACTCAGCAACACTAATGAGGAGGTTCCTGTAAAACTAGAAGGTGGTCAGCCTCTCCTTAGTCTCAGAGAAGGTCAGCAAATCTTCCTGGACCTACATCCAGCCATGTGAAGGACTAGAAGGTGGCTGGCAAAAGCCAGCACAGATTTCCAAAGGACAAACTGTAGCTGTCCAGCTTGACTGCTTTCAGAGTGATGGCTGTGTCCATGAGCAAAGGGAAGAGCAGTTATTATCTCTTACCTGAACTAAGCAGGGCCTTCAGCACAGTCTGTCAGAGCATGGGTGAGGTGCAGCCTAGCTGGTTAAATTGTAGAACTTGGGCAGTTGGCTGAGCTGTCAGGCTTTTGGAGGATTGTTATCAGCAGCACAAAGGTCACCTGGAGGCCAATGGTTGCCAGCATTCCTCAGGGTTTAATACTGTTTAATGTCTGTATTGGTGTTGTGGAAGGAGGTCTGCCTCATCTGGTTGGTGGGTGCTGCCAAATTGTGGGGGAACACACAGCAGGACAGAGCTGCTGTTTGTGGGACTTGACAGCCTGGAGAAGCGGACCTATGGGAGCCTCCTAGAGCTGAGTAAAGGCAAACATGAAATTCTGCACCTGGGAGCAAACAACCCCATGCAGTGTCTCAGCTGAGAAGCAGCACTGCTTGCCAGGCCTGGGAGATCCTTGGAGATCAGATGTGAAGGCTAACTAGTTCCTGGGTTGTATTAGGGGATGGGTAGCAGGCAGTTCTGTGTAAAACTTGAGACCAAATCTGGTGTATGGTTCTAGTTTTGGGCTTTCTGGTACAGGAAAAGCAAGATAGTGAAGGTTGTAGTGAAGGTTGCCATGATGATTAAAGAGTTGAGGCCCATGATACAGGAAAGAGGGTTGAGACTGCTGGTTTTGTTGATTCTTGATAAGGCTGAAGCAGGAGATCTTACTGCTGTCTTTAGTTACCTGAAGGGAAAGTGTGAAGATGCCCAGGGCAGATTCTCAGGTGAGAACTGTGAGATGAAATAGAGAACATGAAAATGGCAAAAAGATGAATCCTGATTAGATACTGGGGGGAGAGGGGGAAATTTGCAATGAGAAAAATTGAACATTGGGATAGGCTGCCCAGAGACGCTTTGGTGTCTCTGTTCTTAGAATTAGAACTCAACAGGATGAGAAACCCTGAGCATTCTCAGCCAGCTTGAATGATGCATCTGTTTAGCCCCGAGGTGGACACTGCTTTGAACAAAGAATTGGACCAGTTGATTTCCAGATAACTCTTTTAGATTTATTTAATCCATGAGTCTGTGCATATAAAAGTATGGATTCTTTTCTGTAAGTGTTTTGGGAAAAGTATGCAGAAAAGTAGGATATGTATTTTCTATAAGAAATGTGGAAGTTTAGCTGTTAAATCAATTTTGTAAACTGATGGCTTGCCTGCCCATGGCAGGGGGGTTGGAACTAGAAGATCTTTAAGGTCCCTTCCAACCCAAGCCATTCTGGGATTTTATGATTGTAAAATTATTCTGTATCTCTTTTTAGGAACTAGCATTTGATCCATATGAATCATATGCACAAGATATTTTACGACCCGGGTTTCATGATCATTTTCTAAGTCAATTATCAAAGCCAGGAGCAGCATTTTATTTACAGGTAACTTGCTTTTAAATAAGATATGCTGTTGCTATTACTGTGTTAATTACATTGTCTTACTGCTTCAGTACATGTATTGTTTTAAGACTGAAACTTATTTTGTTTCTAGTCAATAGGTGAAGGCTTTAAAGAAGCTGTTCAGTACGTTCTACCCCGGCTCCTCCTCGCTCCTGTTTACCACTGTCTTCATTATTTTGAACTGCTAAAAGTAAGAATATTGTGTAAATCTGATGTGTTTGGCATCTTTTTTCGTGGTTCTCAGTGTTAGGTGAGAGCTTTGTATGCTCAGTTAGGTGTAAAATATTTTACTAGAATGTGAATAATAAAACTGCTGTGTTGAGAGAAAAGCTGGCTGTGTGCTCTGCAGGTGGATGCTATAATTAATTGCATATCAGCTGATAGTTATTTCTGCTGAGTAGTCTATCAATCTAGAAAGAGTAGAGATCTACACACTCATATTCTTGGAATGATTGTTTCAACAGTGCTAGGAGATGATAGTACATGGCTGTGTTACAAGAAATGTCCAAGCTTTCTCAAGCTGTTACTTTGTAAATTTGAAATCACAGCAAGATTCCCCTTCAGACTTGATTTTATTTTAATAAAAGTTTCAGTTCTTGCCATGCGCATCCCATGGGATTGTAAAGTGATATTTTTCCTTCAAAGGGAAGGCTTGGGTAATGTTTATACTTGGGCTATTTGTAATTAGACCTTGCATTGATAGGGTAACAATAACATATAAGAGCTGCAGAATGTTTCTCTGAGTTACTTATCAGTATTGCATAATGATCTTTAGGGAGTATAAAGCATTCGGAGGAAAATGTTCCTGTAGGATCATCTTTTGAGCTTAATGGAAATTCATAAGGTATTCAGTGTTCCAAACAACTATTTATGAAAATTTGGACCAGAAGTAAAACAAAAAAAATCAAACAAATGAAAAACCAAAACAATTTAAATAAATATATTGTGTTTCCTTGAATGTTTGGTTGGTTGTTTTTGGATAAGCCAGTAGTTTATCTTTGAGCATAAGTGTCTACAGTTGTTAACTCCATTTTTACTGATTTAGCCACATGTGCACCTTTACTTGTACATGTACATGTGGCACGTAGCACATCTTGTATAACATGTTTTTTGAAAAATTTTGGGATGTGTGCCTGACCTGTTTGTCTCATTGATGGGTTTGGTCTGACTTCAGACATCTTTAAAATATGATGCATTTCCTTTCATGGCAGTCCATTGGAAGGGAGGTTTGACACAGCTTGTTGTTTGCATTTTGTACGATAAAGACCTGCACAGACATAAGGTTTCTCTGCTCATGCTGTTATCACAAAGTCTCAAAATGCAGTACTGAAGGTTTTGCATATTTCCATGTGAACATGACACTGTATTACCTAATGGACAAAGCATGAGGGATTACTGTTGTCTGACACCCAGCCATCCTGCCTTGCTTCTTGCCCTTGGCAGATTTAGGGGGGAAAGGAGAGCATGTGTGCCTATGGAACAGGGAGCAGCCTGTGTTTGCCTTTTCTAGGGCAGGCTGGAGTCTAAGCTGACACTCCCCCCCGACCCCCTCCAAAGTTCATCAGTCTTTGTGCAACTCATGACCTCTGCTTTGTGAAAAATTCTTCTTTTCACATTCATTCTTTACACACACAAACACACATAACTCCTCTACCCTGTCAGTCTGGTATTGTTGTGCTGGATTTTATTCTGTATCTGATAATAACCTCCCGGGTTTCTTCCCACCATGTTGCTCACATCACATTTTAGTTGGACACCTGTCACTGTGGTCTGTCAGCACACACATATCATGTATACAAAATAGGCAGTGATGGATAATAGGTGCACATGAAGAGAGAGATATCATCTCTGGTGGCAGCATCTTCAGCTGTCAGTGAGTGCATCAGCGTGCAATTCAGTATGAATCCCTGCCTCAAATAGTCTTTGCTAGCAGTAACATTTTCTTCCTTATATCTGGAATCTTTGAACAGATTCCAACTTGATTTTTATCTGCCGCGGAAGGATATTTGTGCAATTATATCATCCTGAGAGTTCCACTGATACAAGATACTGAATTCTCTTGTGTGGTAAGAGGTCTGAGTTAGTGATTGCAGGCATGTCTATGAATGATCAAGTTTAAAATGCTATGAAAATGGACCTCTGGTAATGAGGAGACAAAATGTTGGCAAAGTAGCATATGGAAAAAACATTTGATTTCTCTTGAATATAGATACACTTAAGGATAGAGAGGTTAGCATTTATCTTTGAGCTGTGTAAATAAAGCTTTATTGTAAATATAAAGTAAATGTAATTTTATTGTTGTATAATGTTGCATATTTTAAAGGAATCTATTTAAAATGCATTTCAGTTACCTTCTAACTATCCAGACTACAAACAAAAGTAAATTTCTATTCACTAAAGGTTATCTTTAGTTGGACAGGGCACCAGGAATGCACAAATGCACATTCTGTTTTTAGCTGAATCTTCTTGCTGTTACATTGTTGAGTAATTAGCATAAGACTAAGAGCTGTGTTTTCGTTCAACCAGCCTGAAATTCCTCAAACTTTTATATCAGAACTATATAAAATAGCAACTTTATGTGAAACTGCACTTTTCTGCAGATGTTCAGATAATAAATGAACTTTTCTAAATCACAGAATCATTATTAGTAATTGAAGAAAAAGGTTTTCAAGACCTTTGAATTGAGCACTGTTCTGAATGCTGCACATTTGTATGCATGTATGATACTCTTTCATTGGGTGAATGGAGTACTTTAAAGTTCTTTTTTTTCCAGGTAGAAATGCTGCAAAGCATATATAAACTTTGTTTAGATAAAACAATGTATTCTGAGCAACAGGAGAATTCAGCAGGGATTTTGTGTGGTTGGGATTTTTTTTAAGCCAAGTGCAGACTGGAGTCCCATGACTTAGGAATGGTAACTATAATCTCTTTGCTAATATATTTTAATATTTTAAATTAATGCTAATATTTTTTAATATTTATATTTTAATTGGAATTCTGTTTATAATATACTAAAAATCTTGGGATGCTTTCATTTCACAGCAACATCTATTATATGCTATTTATTTTTTTTCAAACTTTGTTCTTAGATGATAAGCAACTTTTCAGGTTTTACTGACTGGCAATTCATCTCAAGTAGAAATACTCCTCAGCTGAACTTTTTGTCTTCCTCTTTCACCATGCTAATAGTAAAAATAGTAATTCTGGCTTGGCAAGGTCTTTCAAGATGATAACCTCTCCTTTTCCCAACCTGTTGATATTAAATTGGTTGCATATTGCTGAAGAAGGCACAGGGTAGTACAGTGTTAGTTTAGGACTAGAGTATCTTGAGCTTGATCCTCTAAGTTTCTTGCTGTGTGTTTTATTGGGCAGAACATCCCAAAGTGTTTTGGGCTTTGACTTCACTTTGATTCTCAGCCTTGTTTCATCAAACAGTGTCATGTTCCAGAGTGTAACAAATTGAGTGAATTCAGTGTGCGATCCCATTTGTAAGTGGTGTAACCCAGCCCAGGGTGGAGAATTAAAGTCTTAATTAGTTGAACTTTGTCAGTCTGCAAAGGTTTTACAATATCTGCAATTATAGATCATTGTCACACAACACTGTCTGGACTGCTTGTCTTCAGTACGAGCCCTGTGATTAACAGGTTCTGCTGCTTTAGTCTATTTGCAAAGTATCTTTTAATTGCTGTTAAAACCAGTAAATAATGGATTTGAACTGTGAATTATTTCAAGAAAGTATTCACTTAATATCAGCACAAGATTTTACTTTCTGGAATCGCTTTTTCTCCAGTGCTTCTTTCCAAAGACAGTAACTTGTATGCACAATACCATTTGTAATACTTGGTCTCTTTGAGCTAGGTCTAATAAGCTCTTGTAGACAAGTATTATACCCTTGATAGCTTAGCTGCCTCAAGTAGCATAAAAGTAGCAAGATGGCTCCTGTGACAGTGTTGGAAACAAAAAAGTTTTAATAAAAGGCAGAATAACAAAGCTCTTTGCAAAGAAAAACCGAGCCAAGGCAAAAAGTTCTTGCTCCTACTAAAACACTTCACAAAAGCTATTTACTTTTGTTCTCTTCTTTTTCTAGTGAATTACCTAGGTGAAACTTTTTGGCTTCTGTCCAATTAGATATCCTTAAGTTTGAGGTGAAATCTCCAAGTCCTATGAAGTGTCTTTTAACCAAATTGAAGAGAGAAACTTCTAAGCTTTTTTCCTTTTTAAGGAAACAAAGGGTAACTTTTTTACTCCATCAACAAGAAGCACATTCCTACACATTTGAAATAAATAAAAAGCAGAAATATTACTATTTTACGGATCTTTGTGTATGCAGCTGCAGATGTGGATGACTTACTATATCCACTGGAGATAATGTGCTCTGGAAGGATCTGTGTGAACTTGTACATTTGTTGCAGAAAGGTAATGATGCTGCTGTGGAGGAGACATCAGCACATGCAAAAAAAAAATAAAAAGCCAAACCCCATTATTTCTGAAAAATGCAGAGCAAATGGGTTTTCTGTACTTGGAGAAGTCAAGGCCTCTGACAGGCAAAGTAGCCATTCACAGTAATGGAATGTAAAATGCATAAATGGCTACTAGTAGCCTACAAAAAGTCTGAATGTTTAGCAAATAGTTTTGTGATAACCTCAGAGAAGTCATTTGGAAAAAAGGCTTTGCTCTTCTATCCCTTCCTTGGTGAAGGAGATGCTGAGTGTGAAACTTAACATCGATTGTATACATTAATCCCTTCCCAGCTGCAGAAACTGAGAGCAAAATTGCACCTCTTCCTGTTGAGCAGACACCAGGTGAAACACTTAGCAGGGTGCCGTAGCTCTGGAGCAAATCTGGAATATGGTCTTTTGACAGGCTGTACCTCTTTATGGGAATGCTAATGGCAAATTGGCCACATAAGGAACCTGTTATAGAGAACTTTGAACTGTTGAATTGGTGAAACATCAGCTGACAGACTTATGTAGTATATAGTTCTCAACGAGTCTTCCTGGCTTTTCCTCAGTGTCCATCCTGATTTTCAAAATGGCACTTCAGAGTAATGTAATTGAATTCTGAAATGTAATTATTTTAATTTCACACATACACACACACACCCCTTCACTTATAAGAACGTTCACATTGAGTAATCAGAGTAGCAATTCCTTAAATTCACATGTTTCTTTAGCCCAAATGTTTTTACATCTTTTGGGCTTGGATGACATTTGATGTACTTGAATTTTCAACATATATTTAGGATCTATTTTAAGTCTATTTAAGATCTATTTAAGTCTATTTTATGAGGTGAAGGAACAAGGAATCTTATACTAAAAGTTGAAATGCTTTTTGTTTTCCTCTGTTTTGATGGTTTACTTGTCCAGTATGCTTCCCAAAGGGTTGATCATGTTTTATATTGTGAGTTAAATGTAACATGAAATAAAAGATGAGGGCCTTTTAGCTTCTGTGTCTTTTAAAATGTACTTCCAAGAGAATGCTAAAGGCTTTATATAACTAATTATCTGATATCTGGGGTTTGATATTTGACATGTGCTATTTTATGTAACTTTTTTTAATTAAACCGAGAAGACATAATTAAACTTTGAGAGGAGAAAAGGTTTTTATCATTGCTTCAGTAAGATATTAAGTTCTATTCCACTGTCAGTGCAAGTAACACTCCTGCTGTAATGTAGATCTAAATAAACAGGTAACTGTATGAGTATTTTTACTGCACTGTGCTTAAGATTATCTGAGTTTATATGAAAACAAAATGACTTCAAATTTCATTGCATTGAAGCTGTGTATATATGTTCAGGAATATGGCATGTGGAGTTTCCTTCAAGCTTCAAGTGTGAGATGCTTTTTAATCTTCTAGCATTTCCCAGAAGTGCATAGTGTTCCCTGAAGTTATCCCCATTTACTGTCCCAGATGATTTCCTGATGCTTGCTAAAAATTAAAAGTTTCTGGACATGAGAGCACTTTACTTTGTCCCCAGAACACTGCTGCTTTGGGCTGAGTTTTTTTGGGATTTACAAAAAGTCAGAGGGTGCTCTCAGATATCTCTATTGCTGTTGAGCCTCCTTCCACGATTGGTTTATGGCAAAGTGCCAGCAGACCTGCCTGCCTTGGTCAGAAAAGAAACCCTGTTGGTTTTTATTGTTGATTACAAAATAGCTCTGTCTTCTGTGTATTGAAGCTGTGATCTTGATTCCCAGAGGAATTGGGGAACTTGCAGTTCACAGATTTCAGTGGTTAGACTTAACTCTTCTGGGAGGACAGAAGTCTAGGTTGTGATGCAAACAAGACTTCATATCTGTCATGACACCTGCTGCTGTGGTTGTATCTGCATGTTCTCATATGTATTTTCTATCACTGTATTTCCAGAGAGATGCTTTTCTGACAGTGTAAGATGTCAACTACCACAGTCTAATTGTGCAGTGCATGAGAAGGATTTCTTTTCTATCTCTTTGGAATTTATAAATATATAATCCTTGTGGTATGCAACAGGTAGAACAAAATACCTTGTCTTCCACTTCTTGATGTCTCTTCAGAAATTGTGGCCTAGAATGTAGAGTACTTTCTTTTTTTAGAGACTTCCCTAGCAGTCTATTTTCCAGGTTTGTTTTCCTTGGATGAACAGGGTCTTGTGCTTATAGTATTGTGAATCATATGAATAATAAGCCAATATTTTCTCATAAGATTGTTAAAATCCACAATCTTTGTAGTACTACTGGTAATCAGAAGTCTGCACTTCCTTCGCCTAATCTTATAATATTTTTGTAGTATGTAGTGCACTTCCTGTATAAAACCAAACAAAAGCAAACAACCCCAAAACAAAACCCCCCTCATCACTTAGCATCTCCCTGGTTTCTTCATTAGGGGGCACTGCACAGCTGTAGAAGAATGAATAGGATTTGCAGAGATACTTTCTGGTGCTTTCCAGTGATGCCATTTCACTTTCCACCTTTTCTAAACTATCCAGGGACAGTGTAAGATAAAATCATTGCTGTAATTTACACTGAATTCTGGTTAAGTCTGGTTTTGGTAATTGTACAGTACCATGCTGGAATATAAATTTCCAAATTCCTATGTCCAGAGAAGTGTCTTCATAGTAGTTCAGAGTACTGCTTGATTTGCCATTTGTGTTGGTGTTACAACAGAAGACAACACACATTTCTGCACAGCACTTTTTAAATGTTAAACCTGGAGCATAATTACACTCCCTGGATTTTGATTTCATTTCTGTTTACCATTGGAAATAGGATTACTCCCAATGGATCCTGTTGGGAAATTATTAACTGCTTTCTCCATATGTATGTATGTGTTTTGCTTTGGGACATGGATAAATACCTACATTTTTGCAGCTGGAGAGAGGTTGCTGTAAAAAGCAACATAAGAGCAGAATGCTTTGCAGTAATGAATGTTAGTCTTTATTAGTTTTGTTTCTGAAGAGAATGTACAGAATATTGTAGGACCTAGTAAGGCTTATTTTCAAGGAGACCAGGCCTTATCTCTTCCACTGCTGAAGAGTAGCAACCCAGAAACTGTAGGAAATCCAGCCAGACTGTTTGGATGGGGGTTTGTAAAAAGGCAGCACACAAGGCAGAGAGCTTTCTCTGAATGCTTGTGCAGGAAAGATCCAAAATCTTAGAGGTAGTTACAGCTTTTTTAGAGCTTTCTTTCAAGACTTCTGCCAGTAGTGCTGTACCTGCCTCATTGGTCTGAAATCCTCTCTGAACCTAGATCTGTAAAACTGAAGCAAAGGGGAGATGACACCTCCACGAAATCTGGAGCGTTGAGGAATATGAAGTGGGTAGTCTGTTCCTTCTTGGATGATGTCATCTCCCTGAGATCTTCTGGGGAGTAATGCTTGTTGTGATGCATTCTCAGATCTTTTTCAGTGGTTGTTACTCAAGTAGGCTCTCCTACCTAATGCTGCTTAGGTTGAGAGTACAACAGATGACACTACAGGAACCAAAGCTGCCTAGAGTAAACTTTGTGGTCATCCTTATGGCTGGAAACAGAGTAGTCTTTGGCATTGACAGCTGTTGCGTTGAATGATTGACTCTAGTTAGGGAAAAATGCTGTTCTCTGACCCATTGAAATATCAAAGATGACTGTGTACTCTGTTGGATTTTGGAGAACAATGCTTATATTTTACTCTGGAGTTGAACAGCACAATTTTACTTTTTCCAAGGGTGTCTCATTCTGGTTCATGCTGGTCTTGGTTTCACTTCTACCACCAAAACGAACCCTTCAATTTTGTGGAGTTAATTCTTGGTGTGTGATAGGCTAAAATGCTTGTCTGTTAATAATTCTGCAGATGTTATTTCAGTTTGACATTTAAACCACAACTGTGGTCACCTATTTTTGTACTCACATAAAATGTTTTAGTGCTTAAATGAAGATTTGAGATGCAAATCTTCAATTTAAGCAATCTTGAACATGGCAGATCTTGTTTTAAAAATCTGCCTGTCATAACAATAGTTAGACACAAAATATTAAGTGTTAACCCTTCTTACCCAGTTTTAATTTAGTTTTTAGATTTAAAACTCATTGTGGCTCTGGGCAACTTGATTTGTGTTGGCTCTGCAGTTGTGCTGGAGATTGGCTTGAGATAATTTCCAAAGTCCCCTTACACCTGATTTATTAATTAGACTGTTATTCGTGAGGTGAGAGTCCTTGTAATCTTCTTTTTTTAAATGTGATTAAGGAATTCTGCTTAACTTTGGGTCCAGCTTGCCTGTTCCAGCATGTTTATGTGTTACAGACTGATTTGATCTTGTCCTGTAGTATGGTGTGTATGGGGATCTCCTTCCTTGCTTGTTCTTCTTAAGATTTAGCGCCTGAAATGGGTTCCATTAAGGAGCTGTAAGGTAAATCAAACCAGTTTGAGATAAATACTGCATGTCTGAGTGTGTTTGTATCTGGGGCACCTTAATAACTGTGCTGTATTTTAGTGTGATTAGGCTTTTAGCAGAGAGTTGTCTCTCACCTGTGTCAATAGCACACCTGGTTATTACCATTAGCTTTTATAACAAGCAGGAGCACGGAAAATCAGCAGATGGTTAGATTTGTTCTTCCTGGGTCAAACTTCTGGATTTGCACATACCGAAATGGTTGTAACACTTCCTGTCTTTGACTTTCAATTTTCACAGCAATTGGAAGAAAAAAGTGAGGATGAAGAAGATAAGGAGTGCTTGAAGCAAGCAATAACTGCCCTGCTAAATCTTCAAAGCAGTATGGAACGGATATGCTCCAAAAGCCTTGCAAAACGAAGGCTTAGGTAAACGTTTCCGGTTTTTCTGCTCTCTGCTCTTAATGCTTTGCTATAAATCCAGGGCTCTTGGTTTCCTCTTTTAGTAAACAATGAACAAAATAGTTTGTGACAAGCCTGCTTTTTCAGAGGAAGTGACATCAAAGCCAAGATAATTTGTTATTGTTTTAAAACAGTTCTAATTTCTATGTGTCCTTGCAAACTGGTAGTTGAGACGTTCTGAGAATTCAGTGGTAAGTAGAAAGTTACAGCATTAGTGGGTTAATTGGGCTCAGATAATAAATAAAAAATATTCTAAAAGTACCTTTCTGTATAGTTAGAAGGGAATGTTCTTGAATTTGAAACTACTCCTAAAATTGTTTCAATATTTTTGTTGCCAGACAATTTTTGTGCTACCAAGGGTAACCTTTAGGCTTGAACATGAATGCATTTAACAGCTTGTTTTTTTCTGAATGTACTTGTTTCAAATTAATGCCATCTAGAATTGTTCTTCTGGTTATGGAAGTGAGTGGCTTGTTGGGCTAAGAAGCACTCACAACTTGCCTGCCTCTGGTTGTTTGTGTATCGGTAAAACATCTGTTGCTGAAGATAAGTAGAAAATTTATCAGATGAGATACTTTAGTTAAGACTTTGCAATGGTGCTGATATTGAATGATGAAATTACATTCTCAGTGGAGTACTCACTTCTCAGAAGGATGATGTGTTGTTTTTGTGTTAGTGGTGGTTGTGCTTTTTTAAATACATGTGTACTAATAGGCTGTCTTTTTCCCATCCTCCACTGAAGTGAGTCCGCATGCCGGTTCTATACTCAGCAGATGAAGGGGAAGCAGCTAGCAATTAAGAAAATGAATGAAATTCAGAAAAATATTGATGGTTGGGAGGGTAAAGACATTGGACAGTGCTGTAACGAGTTCATCATGGAAGGAACACTCACACGTGTAGGAGCAAAGCACGAGAGACACATATTCCTGTTTGATGGCTTGATGATTTGCTGTAAGTCAAATCATGGCCAGCCAAGACTTCCTGGTGCTAGCAATGCAGAATATCGACTCAAGGAGAAGTTCTTCATGCGAAAGGTACAAATCAATGATAAAGATGACACTAATGAGTATAGACATGCTTTTGAAATAATCTTAAAAGATGAGAACAGTGTTATTTTTGCTGCTAAATCAGCTGAAGAGAAAAACAACTGGATGGCAGCATTGATATCTTTGCAATATAGAAGCACACTGGAAAGGATGTTGGATGTAACAATGTTACAGGAAGAAAAAGAGGAGCAGATGAGATTTCCAAATCCTGAGCTTTATAGATTTGCAGAACCCGACTCTGAAGAGAATATTGTGTTTGAAGAGAACATGCAGCCCAAATCTGGAATCCCCATCATCAAGGCAGGAACTGTTGTGAAGCTCATCGAGAGACTGACATACCACATGTATGCAGGTGAGGCACTTGAGTTTGTGCAGCCTAAACTCAAGGTAGGAATTTGCTCATGCTTCTCTTCCTGTGTTAAATACATGCAGCAAAATGCATAAAGTGAGTGAAAAGTGAATATGCTTGGCAGTTCACATGGGATATTACATGTGCATAGGATTGTTCTCATGCAAGGGATGGGGGTGGGGGCCTACAGCAATTGAGCTCTAGACAATACTTCTTCCTTTGTGCCCCAAGCTACAAGAACTGCCTTCCCTCCAGACTTCTAAAGCTGGGTGACACAGGAAAGGCCAGCATTGTGGAAGAGAATTATGGGCCCAGTGTTTTCAGTTCAGGGTTGTACTCTATCAGGTATTACCTGTGTCCATGCTGGCATGTCATGGAAAGACGAATATCAATAGATGCAGTCACTTGCATACTTTGGCCTTAGAACTTTGCCTTATTCAGAACTTCGGTGAGGATTTGATTTAAGGACTTTTGACTTAGGGTTTCTGTTTGTGTTGAAGTCATGTTAAAGATATTTATGTGGTTATCCAGGCTGACCTCAGTGTCTGGGGTTCTTCTTGATAGCACCCCAGGATTTTCATAAGCTGTGCTGCAAAGCATGGGCTTGTGTTTGAATTTTTTTTTCTGATTCTGTCTGTATCTCAGTTATTCTGAAACTTCATGCATCTTGGTGCTTTTCATATTCAATGATTTTTTTTTTTCTTCCTTTTTACAGTCTTAATTGTAGTAGATTGTTCTTCTGGAGCTCAGTCCTAGATACCCTACACAGATCAGGAATATTTGTTTGAAAGAAATGAGGAGTAAGCAGAATTTAATTCCTATAGTTTAGTACCGTGTTTACTTTTTTAAAAACTTATATTTATATCTCTTTGCTCCATTACTATTCTTGCTCTTCTTTAATTTCCTTGAATTTTCCTAACATTTGCTAGAAAGCCAAATGCAATATTGTGCTGGCAGTTTTTACCTGACCAATTTTGCACCTCTCTTCATTTTCTTGTAACTTTATAAACTTCTAGCTCTTGACTTAGATTTTTATAAGTATGGTTTAATTGTAAAATCAAAATAATTTTATGTCATAAGTCTTGAAAGTTAAACAACTCAGCCTTAGAGAAAGGAAGGCACTTTTCTATTACTTTTAAATCTAGCATTGTCTTTGCCAAAGAATTAGCAAAAACTATTGTATGAGAAAACTGAGAATATGGGTACTGAGAGGTGGCCTGAAAGACTTTGACCAGAAGGATAAAAAGTGTTGTCTTATAATGTATGTAGCTTGTCTTTGTTGCCTTGAACATCTTAGTGGATGTGATGCTGCATTGCTACATTGTGCTTAATTTCTCAACACTCTTATCTTCTATACCTTCTGTTTTATAATTGGTTATCTGTGAGGAAAAACATCATTGTTCTCACCATTCTGTGCAGTCTTTTCCAGGGCAGCAAAGAAATAAAAGATAGAGTGACTCAACCAAAAATGCTCTGTTGTACAGAAAACATGGTCCATTGGTGATGTAAATCATTCAGGGTTTTGTTGCATCTTGTGAGATGCAGTGAGTAGGGCAGCAGCTCTCCAGAGTATCAGGTTGGCTCTTTCACACATGTATCAGCTGAGTTCAAGGCTTCTCCTCTGCTTGGAGACCTGGGAAGATATGTGCTTTGGTGATATGTAACCAAACAGCTACAGACTGTAAAAACGCTTTTCTTGCCCCACACAGGATTGTGTACGTGTGATGGTAATCTTAAAAGTCTTTATTGGCTTTATATTCAGATACCAGAACAGCAAGTATTTACCTTTCGGAGGAAATTTTTCTGAAATTCAGTGTGGCTGGTTATGGCAGCCCTTGATCTGCCAGTCTAAAGACAGTATTTACTATAGCTGTGACTTTTCTCTAGGGTTTTTATCTTTGTAAGTCAAGTGGTGTAAGAAATAATTACAGATGCACTTTGCAAAGGTCATACACATTTTTTGCAGTTTAGTTAGTTGATGTAGTCAAATTAGGTCTCAATTTTTTGTAATATATGAAGATCCACACAGGCCACCTCATTTGTAGATATGGGTGTTGGACCTTTTATTTGCCATCCCTCACCCCCTTGACAAATGAGAAACCATTTTATCAGACAAAATTTCTTTGCTGTGCAACAGGGACAGCTCTAAGGAAACAATTCTGCCAAGGGTAGGAGGCATCCAGCTTCTACAACAGCTCAGACAGGGAGACGGCCCTGATGGCCACCTGGTCATGAGGTGTGGCAGACTGTCCAAACTATCCTGTGATGAAGGAGCAAAACAGAGAGAAATCTCCTCTGCAAAAGCAGATTTCCTTGTATTTTTATATGAGGGAAACTGCCCTGCAATTAGAAGTTCAGGTTGTGACCCTATTTGCAGATTCTGGTGGATTTTCCTTGTTTTAATGTGTTTCTGCATTCATTATCTCCTCCTGCTCAATTCTTGTTTAAGAGCAGCTGGATTAGGTGGTACCAACATTTTAAAGTCATGGCATTTTTTTTTATCTATAGGGCAGCACTCTTCTATTTTTAAAGCTTTGATATGTTAAGAGTGCTTGTGCGTCATCATAGTGTCCGTTTCCTTTCTTAAGGAATTCAAGGGTGATTATTTATAAATCCTTGTAGAACAGTTATTGTTCTTTTTTAGCTTTCAAATTGGCTGCATTGAAGAGAGAATTATCACATGAGCAGACATCCTGGCTAACTGGTGTTGTCTGTATTTTTTTAAAACTTACTCATATATTGTACACTATTCTGAGTCACAATTATTGCTAGCAAGATAACAAAGTTAGATTTGATTTTCTGATCTATACAGTTGTGAAAGTCAATATGTATTGTGGATTTATATGCTGACCCTACCTGTAAATAATAATAGCTACGACTCAGAGCTTGCAGTGATCTGAAAATTTTAATTGCTATGGAAGTTCTTTTTTTCATGTAGACAAAATCTCTTATTTAGAGTAGATGCTGTGTATAGATTGCAAGCTGTGAAAGCGTGACTTACTGTGCTTCTTTAGGACAGCAGAATTTGTGTATTTTCATGATGAACATGATGTGAACAGGGATGACCATCTTAGTGCAAAAGTATTTGAGTTCTGCCTTTGAAAATAATTTTGGACTGTACAGTTTCAAGAATTGGTGGGAGAGGAATTATGATTAGAAAAATGGAGTAATGAAGGACATGTGAGAAGCAGAATAGCCAATTGTTTAAGGAATGAGAATTGTCATGCAACAAAATTGCAAGGAAATGCTGTGGTACATGGCACAGTTAAGGTGTGCAGCACATCACAGCAAACTGTTGCCCAAATGAACAACTCAGTGGGATCTAAGAAGGGTAGAATGTTCATTCAAATGTACAAGATGCTGGTAAAGAGTTAAGGAGGATTTTAAAGCAGCTCTTAAAAATTCATATTCCAGGAAACAAATCGAGGAGAGCATTAGGTCAAATAATGCAGCCTTTTCATCCTCCATGTTACAGCCTACAGGAATTCTTGCTTCAAGTCCTGTGAGCTCCTCTTCAACCACTCCATGTTAAGACAATTACCAGCTGGGATTTGGTTTTCAAATCTGGATATAGATTTAATATGCAAAGCTGTTGCAATCTGCTCATTAATTCAGTGATAACAGTGTTAGCCTTGTTTCTAGTCAGCTCTGTGCAGTGCCAGTGAGCTGTCACGGCATTTCCTCATATTTGAAAACAAATAGGTTTGCTTCTGTAATTATGAGAGACACTTTGGTTTTCTGATTGTTTTGATTGTTTTTAAGAATTTTCATATTTTAAATTAATTGATATGTAATTAGTCAATTTAAATGAAATCAGTTTATTTTCTAGAAGTGAAATAAATATCATAGCTATCAGGTGAAAAAATTTCTAGGCTGCCTTAACCATGACTGGTTATCAGTTGTGCCAGTTTAGGGGAAATATTCTCCCCTGGAAGAGGCCGTTTCTATCCAGTGCAAAGTTACTTGATGTGTTTTTTGAGTTCTCTTGTCCCAATCACTGTCAAAACCAAAGTTGTTTACTCGTAAATAAAATCATCTATTCATTAATTTCAAAGTCATTGGAAAAGAATCCTGTCTTTTAACAATTGAGGGGGGAGGGGGAAAGTAATTGTTGTGAACCTTCAACAGAATTAAAATTGTTTTTAAGTTCTGTTTTGTATTGCTATTTTAGGAGGCTTTGAATTGTTATCACAGCCATTTCGGTTTACATAATTTTCTCTGTAAATTGATAGGGTGACATCCTTAATTTTAACAGATAACTGAAGTTATTGTAAAGAAAAAAAAAAAAAACAGGTAATTGCTGACATAAGTGTAAAATTATTCTTTGTCTTAGATCCCAACTTTGTTCGGACTTTTCTCACAACATATAGATCCTTCTGTAGACCTCAAGAGTTGCTGAGTTTGCTAATAGAAAGGTATGCCACTGTTAAAAATACTGTTCTTATGCAGTGCATTTTGTTTTCTTTTTACTTGGAGTGCGTAAGATTCTGGCTTTCCAGTTGGTTTCTTGTCGCTTCAAACACTTTTTAAAAAGTTGTCCAATTCAAGGATTGCCAGTAAATGTACAAGTTTATATCCAGAAGCTTGTGCCCAAGGCTGGTGCTTACACCCGTGTTCTGTGCTAGGTTTGAAATTCCAGAGCCGGAGCCCACGGAAGCCGACCGGATGGCCATGGAGAACGGGGACCAGCCCCTGAGCGCCGAGCTGAAGCGCTTTAGGAAGGAGTACATCCAGCCTGTGCAGCTGCGGTGAGTGCTGCGCCCTGGGAGCCGCCCGAAGCGCCGCCTTCGGCTGCTCCGGCGCTCGGAGCTGCCAGAGTCCTTCCTGCAGCTGCTCTCACAGGGAAGGTGGGCTGAGCTTAGGGTGCTCATTGGGGCTTTGCTTTGCAGAGTACTGAATGTGTGCCGACACTGGGTAGAGCACCATTTCTATGACTTTGAGAGGGACGCTGACCTTCTGAAACGTTTGGAAGAGTTCATTGGAACAGTAAGAGGTATTTACGGTCCCTTAAGTGCTGACATTTATCCTAAAGCATCCCATTTCAAAGATCAATCCCATTTTCAAAGATCAAAGTTGTGATCAATTTTGCTTTCAGGAAAAACAGGACAGACTGCTTATTAAATACTTCATAAAGAGGGTGAAATAAACTTTCATTAAGCCCACACACACACACACACAATTGTTCAAAATCTGGCTCTTGTTCAGAATAATGATTGTTATTTACATAAATTGAGTTTTGTTGTAGAGGGAGTGAAATAATGAAAAATAATAAGAACTGAATCATGATCAGAACAGAATAATCACTTTGATTGTCATTTTAAACTTTACACAGAGGTAATTTTTGGAAAGTTGGATGGTGGAAACCATTATTTCTTTGAAACAAGAGTTTCCAGCTATTTCACAGTGCATATGAGAACTGTAGGATACTTTTCCGTTGTGATTGTACAGACTTTTCCTGTGTCCTTTTTAAGAAAGCCAAGACAGACACAGGAGCAATTTTCAGGAAAAGACTATGTCAGAGAAGTACTTAGTGGTTATTTAGCCACTAAAAAGAGGGAAGAATGAGACAGGTAATTCATTGGATGTTACTGGTAAATTTTCAATGGACTGGTGCATGAAATTCTTATGGTGCAGAGCTAAAAAGGCATTGGCCTTTTAGTTTTATTCTCAGCTTTGATGGTAAATGCAGTACAGGAAGAAGCTTCTCCCTGTTTGTTATTTTGACTTTCTAGGTTGTCTGAGGTAATCACGTGCTCTTGTCCAAACTAGAAAGTTCAAGGTGTTTGCAGAAGTGCATTTTGGGCAAAACAAGGTTTGTTCCCAAAAACTCACTGTAAACTCAGAAAAGAAAGGCATGTAAATCAGAGCAGGAGACTAATTTGGATATTCTGATTTGTGCTGGGACAAAGTCATGCTCAGCATTGGCTGTTGAGGAATTCTTTTTATCTTTGAATACTTCTACACTTGTGTAGAGAATGCCAATTTTAAAGAATATATGATTGCTTTCGTTTAGTATGTTTTGGGTTTACATCCAAAGATGTTATACCGATATGTTATGAAAAACATATTAACTAAATAGTAATTCTCCCTATGTGCCAGGCAAAGCCATGAAGAAGTGGGTTGAATCCATCACAAAGATAATCAACAGGAAAAAGCAGGCACAAGCCATTGGGCCAAGCCACAACATCACTTTTGAGAGCCCCCCTCCAGCAATTGAGTGGCACATCAGCAAACCAGGCCACACAGAGACTTTTGACTTGCTCACTCTGCATCCCATAGAAATTGCTCGGCAGCTCACTTTACTGGAGTCAGATTTTTACAGGTAACTTTCCTCCACTGAGAAACATGTGGCACAAGTCAAAATATTCTCCATGCATGAAATTGTTTCTGTGGGCCTTTGATGTAAAGCCCCACAGAAATCAAGGGACTTTACCAGTGTTGTGTGTTCATTTCCATTTTACAGGGGAAAGCTCTCTTAAATACAATATTTGTTTTATCCTCCCCAAGTTAATGTGCAGTATGGGTGACTGTTGCATACTGTTAATTGTCTTGTGCTCCAGCTTTCTCTTGGTATTTTCTGCGTAGATCAACATTTGAGAAGTATGAACAATTATTAAATCAGTTTTCTTCACATCCTGGTTTGTGTAGCAAATTAAAGACTGTGTCAGATCTCATCAGCTTTCTATAAGAAATTATTCAGGCATTGGAAACTCACATTTTGTTACCGTGAATGAGATGGAGATTTCATTTTTCATTTAGATGAACAGAGATGCTTAAGAGTCACATAGATTAAGAAATATCTACAGTCCAAAAAAAGAATCAGTCGTTTAGTCATGAGGGCAGCCTAACATTGTATTTCTAAATTTATTTCTAAATATGAATTCCAAATTCAGTGAAAATCAAGACAGTTTGGAAAAATAATACCTTCTTTCCTGCTTTCAGTTACATTTTTTGATAAAACATCTACTTTTCCAGAGCTGTGCAGCCATCAGAACTAGTTGGAAGTGTGTGGACAAAGGAAGATAAAGAAATTAATTCTCCCAACCTTCTCAAAATGATAAGGCATACAACTAACCTAACTCTGTGGTTTGAAAAGTAAGTGACTTTCCTGAATCTGCACCTACTCCATATCTGGACATTTACAGTTCATTCACAAGTGTACTGTGAAAAATTCTGTTCTGGGAGAATTCGTGTTTTGGTGTTCAGATGCTAAAACTGGTCCCTGTGAAAAATTTAACATAGTGGTCTCAAGCTTTTTATTCTTAGAAATACATTTTGAAATCTCTAAGACGTTTTCAGATCTACCTCAAGTAATTTGATAAAATCGTATTTGTTTGTGTTACAACTTAGTATTTGACTTTGGAAACCTCATCAGCGCTTTAATACAACCCCCAATGTTCTTGTGTATTTAGATGCATTGTAGAAACAGAAAACCTAGAGGAAAGAGTAATTGTAGTGAGCCGGATAATTGAGATCCTGCAAGTTTTTCAAGAGCTAAACAACTTTAATGGTGTCCTTGAGATTGTCAGTGCTATGAACTCCGCAGCAGTTTATAGGTTGGATCACACATTTGAGGTACAGTGAAATGTTTTCCACTTTTGCTATGGCAGTGGTCGTGCAGGGTACCTTGGCTACACCGAAAGCCTGTCTTGTCAGTAAGCACATGCTTCCAAGGAGCAAGGAAAGTAAATCCCTCAAGAAATTAATCAACCAGGGTGTAAGAGAGAGGGTTTTTTCCTTGTTTTCAGAAGCAAGAAATCCATCCCCACTTAAGTAAGACATCTCAGGATGGTGGGGCACTGTCCTCATGGTCCCTGATTCAAGTACCAGTGGGAGACCATTACTCTCAGTATTGTTGCTGGGCCGTGCCTTTATCTTCTTTTTCCAAACCTCCTGTTTGATCTCTCTTTTAAGCAAATTCCAAGTCGCCAGAAGAAAATCTTAGAAGAAGCTTATGAGCTGAGTGAAGACCATTATAAGAAATACTTGGCAAAACTCAGGTCCATTAATCCTCCTTGTGTGCCTTTTTTTGGTGAGTACATGTGGTTTGGATGAGCCATATCCCACATTAACATTTGGAAAGTACTGAGCTTATGGACTAAACAGAGTATGAACAATAAAGGGAAAATTTTAACAGGACAGGTGAATTGGAATTTCAAGTGCCCAGACACGAGTATGTAAAAAAAAACCTTGAAGTGACAATTCATTGAAGATGTTATTTGCAGTAAAAATCATTATATCTGCAATATCCTATTTCCGTATTTGCTGATTTTTACTTTGAGTGTGGTCTGAACTGTTACAACCAGAAATACTCTCAATAGAAGGTGATCACATTAGAAATATTATTGCCATTGACTGGGAGAAAAAGCAAGATCCTCTTCCTCATAAAGTGTTCCAAGAAATGCAACTACAGTCTCATTTTTATTAAAAAGTCTTATTTCTGTATAAACAGAGTTTGGAAAGCAAGCATCCTCTTTATCATCAGATTTAACAGTTCTTCTTTGAAGTAGATAGCTGATATTTAACAGATTCTGATTTTAAGTACATGTCATTCCTGTTCTTAAGCTAGCCACTTAAATGTTTGCTACAGATCAGTTCCAAGTCAGGACAGTGCACTTGTCCAACATAGGCTTCAAGCCAAAACTGAAAGAAAATAGTGTTGATGGCTTTTTTGGCCTTTTACAGATTGGGGAAAGATATACTCCAGAGCTCTGTAAAGAAAGATAAGATCAACTAAGAAACCTTCTGTCCTGATTCAGAGATGAGTAGAGGTTAGCAGGATCACATGTGAATAACTTCAGTTATTTATTTATTTATTCTTTCTGGGATTAATTCCAAATTGTCAAGTCATAATGACAATTCCAGACCCATTATCTATGGAGTGGAGAGCACTTTTTGCTTCCTAATCTTTGAATTATTTGATGCAATTATGAAGCCAGGATAAAACTTGAAAATAAGTTTTGGAGTTTAGCTGGGGTGTCTAATGGAGGAGTTAAGAGAAAGCACTCCTGTTCAGTGTCCTCTTTTTGTATTCAGTTGTGTGAGCTTCCTAAAGCATAGAAAGATGCACAGGCTTTGGGGGACATTGATGTAAAAAGGCATTTTTCTGGAAAAGGCATGTTAAAATATTTAAATTGTTGCCCTTATTGAAAGGTGAGGTGCAATTCTCTTATTGACCCTAACAGAGGCATTTTCTAAATAATTGCAGTGCACAAATTAATTTTTTTAAGAATTCCTTGTATTCCAGTTGTGACTTCCTCCTTGTTTTGTATTCTGTGTTGAAAACCTCTTCTGTGTGCTGTTTAGGGATTTACTTAACAAACATTTTGAAAACAGAAGAAGGCAATCCTGAATTTCTCAAGCGCCATGGGAAAGACCTTATAAACTTCAGCAAGAGAAGGAAGGTAGCTGAGATAACAGGGGAGATCCAGCAGTACCAGAACCAGCCATATTGTTTAAGAGTGGAATTTGACATCAGGGTGAGTGACACAATTTCTTTCTGCGGTGATTCTGCCAGCTGACAGACCATAAGTACAGACTGAATTCACATAGATTCAGTCTGACTGAACCAGAGATGAGCAGCAGGTCTGTCATAAAACCTCTCTTGGGTCTCGGTGTAAGAAAGGGCAAAAAGCTCCATGCTTGCAGTTCCTTGGGTTTGTTTCATTTTTTTTCTCAGCTGTTGGGACATTGGTACATCTTCTTATTGATCAGTGTTAGACAGGAACTGAAAGTAGCAGATTCTCATTGTCCTTCACTCAGTTGCAATTATTTGTCCAGTGAGCCCAGTTGTCTTTTCCTCTCCTGTTACACTGCTTTTATGTTCCATGTTTACCTGATAGCACTGTGCTTATGTCATGTGTTGATGGAGATGATACATCTTTCTTTCTCCTGGTGTTTGTTTTCCTTGGTCTGAGGTGTTGCCTAAGCAGTATCCTCTCTGGTTGCTTTCCTTTCTTCCTTTTTTCTTTTTTTCTTACCATCTTTTGAGCTGTGTGCTTTCAGAGAGTCACAGGATAGGGTATCTTAAAGATTCTGCAAGGTTTTTTTTAATTTGTGATCCTTAGGCTTTGACAGAATGCATTGTGGGAGCAGTCTTCCCTGCATCAGTGTAAAGATGGATTGTTTGCAGCCTCTTCTGGAAGTGTTTGGGCAAACCTGGTCTGACTTTGCACTGCAGAAAGCATTTAGGGTACTTCCCCAGTTGGTTTTCAGGCCAAGCATAGTAGTAGCAATGTCCAGAAAAGGCCTGGCAACAAGAAGATTTAATAGCTTAAGTCTGTCATTATCTCTGACTCCAGCATTTTTGCTCTTCTCTCGAACAGGTGGGATCATTTGTGCTGTAGAAACAAGCAGTATTAAGAAGCATCTTAGCTGACAAGTTGTCTGCCTTGTTGTATTGCAGAGATTTTTTGAAAACCTGAATCCAATGGGAAACAGCGTGGAGACAGAATTTACAGATTATCTGTTCAACAAGTCACTGGAGATAGAGCCACGAAATGTCAAGCCTCCTCCAAGATTTGTTAGTATTTGATTTTTGTATTTATTCTTCAAAAAGCGCTAGAGACGGCAGAAGTAATTTCAGATCTCTGACTTCGTAACTGCAAAACAGCATCTAAGTGATCCTGTGGCCTTTTGATTTTGGTTGATATTTTCTGTCGTTTCAGCCCAAGAAGTACAGCTACCCTCTCAAGTCCCCGGGTGTTCGTCCCTCTAATCCAAGGCCAGGTACCATGAGACATCCCACGCCCCTGCAGCAGGAGCCACGGAAAATCAGCTACAGCCGCATCCCGGAGAGCGAGACGGAAGCCACGGCGTCTGCCCCGAACTCGCCCCGCACCCCACTGACCCCCCCTCCTGCCTCGGCCACTTCCAGCACCACCGACGCCTGCAGCGTCTTCGACTCCGACCCCTCCAGCCCTTTTCACACGAGTAGGTGCTCACAGACAGCACATGCCACTCACATTTTGTGGTCTTAGGCAGGGGAAATCAGGCTTAGCCTTCTTCAGTGACTATAAAAATCATTGCTGTTGTCTCCTTGCAGATCAAAAACTTTTGGTATTTCTTACTCTCTTTTCCTTTAAAAAGTTTTTATTGTAAAGGAGAAACTGAACATAATTAGGTGTATTATATAGGGACTGTTACAAGTCTTTGGAGGACCTGTCAAAACTGAAGGCAGAGGTAATCTCTAGGGCCCATATGTGTCCCAGTCAAATTTGTGACATGTATGTGTATGAATGTATTTGGTGAGTATCTGATGGTGAACATTGGGAATAAGAAATGAATTGTTTGTGGGTGCCTTATTCTGCTGCCTGCAATTCAGAGCTAATTTCAGTGTACACGGACGGTTTTCCTGCAAAACTTAAAATCAGTATTTGCTTGCTTTAAATCCATCAGGATTTATCCACACCGCTTTTTCTTCTGTCTTTCCCAACATACGAGGAAGGTCGTATTTTATGGTGTGCCCTCAGTATTTAATAATGGATATAGGCTCCTTTCACATATGAGGGTTTTCAGAGGATACTCCTGTGTTCAGCTGGTTGCCACAAGGAGGTGAAATGGCTTCCTAAAGGCAGAAGTTCCTTAGCAGAGCTGTGCCATTGCTGAATGTCCAAGCCAGGTCTTCGGAAAGCCTCTGGAGAAAGCATTTCTTTATTGTTCAGTCCATTGATTGCAGATTCAGGATATTGTTTTAGTGCTGTTGTGACATAAGAACAAGTTTGTGGTGTGGTTTTGGTCTCAAGGATTACTTAAGAAAGTTAAGGAGCTGATGGCCACAGAGATCTTTACAGCTCAGAAAAGCAGTTTCTCTGGCAGCTGCAAGTTAGAGGCTTATTTCATTGTCTTTACTTATCACTTCCTTGATTCATGATGCTTTTTATGAGCAATTGCTTTATTATTTATTGTACCTCTGTTGGCAGCAATATTGAGCCAAAAGTTCATAATTTTCAGTGTTTTTTTTCTGTCCCTTAGGATCTGCTTCTGTGTCATCCATAAACTTTACCAAAACTTCAGATGATGCTCCTGTCCCTCCTCCTGTTCCTCCACGGAGAAGACCAGAATCTGCCCCAGCTGAATCCTCCCCATCAAAAGTAAGTAAGCAGGAAAAAGGTCATTTGTTTTTCTGAGAGAAGAGGGGTGGGTATGACAGAAAAGCAGCTCTCAAAGACAGTACATTTATTTTTTGAAGACCTGTTTGTGAAAGAGTAAGCAGCCATGTGTTTCAAGCCTTCACAGCTCTGCCTCATTATGTCTTGATCTCAAACAAATGAAAACAGATGGGACCTAAATTTAGCGTTAGAAATGTCTCATCTACTGATGTGCTGTGCTCAGGCCCTTGCATTGCCTGTGAGAACTTGAGGTTTCAGACAGGTTTTTCTGTCTGGGATTAATTGTTTCAGAGTATCGTTGTAGGATATACAAATAAAAGTAAGAACTGATGAACAGTAATGATGGAAACTGCTGTACACAGCTCAGTCCTCTGAAAAGTTTCACCAGAATATTTGATCCTGATGCTGTGGTGCTCAAGTGCTTGCTTTCCTCTCTTGCTTACCCATCCTGTCTGCCTGCCTGCTTAAGCCATTGCTACATTTGCCTTTTGCATTTGTCTGGCAACTGGGATCTGATCCAACCTTTGTTGCAGACACTGTCAAATTTCACCTGATTTCAGTGGAAGCTTGTTTGTGACTTCAGATTTTAAAATCCCACTCAAAATTACTTCAGAGCAGATAAGTCTTTGAAGAGAGTTTATAAGTGGCCCTTCAGCAGTTATTTTCAGACTACAGGCAACTGTTTTGCCAGTCAGCAGAACTTGATACATCACCAAAATGTATCTGAAATCCTACCAAAATGTATTTGAAAACATTGTGTATGTGATAGGGTGTTGGAGATCAGTTATCCTGTCACTATTATCTGCAACTTGGGAACTGTTCATTTCCATAATTCTGACTACTTAACTCCATCTTCTGATCATAGTTTATTTTTTTCCCTGTTCAGCATCATCAGCCTCTCCCTTTTTCTAGTTCTCTTGAAGAAATTCCTGGTGTGTTAAGCACTCCAAGTCCTTACTGGGGAGGTGGTGGAAGATACCCAAAACTCCCCAGCAAGCAGACCTGGAACTAGCATGGAGATCGTTCTTTTGAGCATTCTTTGCCTTGCCCTTGTCCCTCTCTGTGCCTCTTCATTCCTTCCATCCTTGGCTGTTCACTCACGTGTTGCTGCAGCCCTGCTAAAAGCAATCTGCACTGCAAGAGGAGGCTTCTGTTTCACAGCAGGGTCCTTTGCTTTGCAGCCACTGTGGAATTTTACTGACTCAAGTGTTTGTGTACCTCAGATTACTTCTGCACACCTGGACAACCCACCAGCAATCCCTCCCAGGCAACCAACCTCTAAAGTGTATTCTCCAAGGTACTCGGTGCCCGATCGGACCTGCATCTCTGACTCCTGTGTTACCACTGCAAACCCCCCCGAGTTACCGCCACGGGAGCCTGTGCGAACTCCAGATGTTTTCTCTAGCTCACCACTACACCTCCAGCCCCCACCCCTGGGGAGAAAAAGCGAACTCGGTAACACCTTTTTCCCCAACAGCCCCTCTCCGTTCACACCCCCTCCCCCCCAGACACCTTCTCCACATGTAGCACGGAGGCATCTGCCGTCGCCGCCTTTGGTACCGCAGGATGCGGACCTCCCTTCTGTTGCTGGACCGCCCGTTCCTCCACGACAAAGCACTTCCCAACATATCCCAAAGCTTCCTCCAAAAACTTACAAAAGGGAGCACACGCACCCGTCGATGCATCGGGATGGGCCACCCTTGCTGGAGAATGCCCCCTCCTCCTGAACCTGTCCCTCGCGCTGGGAGTCACATTTTCCTGGTGCTATGTCTGTTGCTGGCAATGGATGCACTGAACCTGGTGGTGTCAAGGAGTTGGGATGTGTATGCCAAACACTAAGAACTCTCCAATGCGTTGGAAATGTAGTGTACAGAAATGGAATTGCAAAACCAGACTTTCTAGTGGAAAACCCGGTTAACTTGCTGTTCTCATTTTAGTATGCGGGACTTTGTTCTAAAGTAATTGGACAGCTGATTGTACCAGAAAACAGTCTGGAGAGACTTCTTTGGCCAATGAGCAGAGACTGTGTTTGTGTAATGATCAATAATGTCCAGTACAGGAAGGAAAAACAGTCTTGTATCCATCAGTTCCATACAGTGGCACAGTTTTCAGAATGAAAACATTATGCACTTTTTTTAAATCTCAAACAGGGAACTTTATATCCTTCTTAATTTTCCTTTGCTTTACTTACTCCCTGCTTTAAAATACCTTCCTAAAATTATGAGAAGGACTGTGAGGAAGATCTGTGGTACCTAACCGAGCTAGAATTAAGGCAAAGCACTGTATTGCGGTCCTGTTTACAAGTTGTTACAATGAGTAGTAGGGGGTACCTAGGCTTCACCAAAGAGGTACTTTATTATTATTTTCTGAAATACTGTGGTGCCAGTTCAAAAATAAATTTTTGCCAGGAAGCATAATGTCTAATTATTGCTTTCTTTAGATAGAGCTGATGAAAGTCTTACATCATTAAAGTGACAGCGAATTTTTTTTTTAAAAGCAGCACTATCATCTGAAGCAAATATACTACATTTAGAAGACTGTTAATCTCTGCTAGGTTATGTCATGTTCTTTTTAAGGTTTACTGATAATCCATTTCATGGCTAGTAGCTATTCTTTTTCAGTCATGCCATGAAAACAGTCACTTGTCAACTTCCATAGCTATTGTCATGTTTTACTAACAATAGATTAATCAGCATACATAGGATTGCCTTGCGGTTGCATAAATCGTGTGTATATAGTGAATGTTGCATAAATATACTTGCAGATTGTTTTTAATTTAATTGAAATAAAGATAAAGATATGTTTGGCTGACATACGTTAAATTATTAATGGACAAATGTTCAACTTAGCTTTTCAGTTAAGCACTGAGGGGGATAAAAGCCCATCTTGTGGTACGTATTTTTCCTAGTTCAGTGTATGTATTTTAGTAATGAGAGACTTAAAGAGGTTTTTCTGGCAAATTAGAAAATAATAATTCAGTAATATTTGAGAGGCTGAATTACTCCCAAAGTGAATTATTATACCTTGTGAAATGTTTCCCACATCCTGTATGACACGTGTTAGAAAAAAAAATCAAATTTATATTAATTTTTACAGTGAGACTTTCTGATCTGTATTTCTTCTTCAGCACATTTTTGTGCTTTTGTGCAGCCAAGGCAGAGCAGGCCCCCAGTGGTCAGGATGCTCAGTCAGGAGGGACCTTGTATAGTTCCTGCTAATCAGCAGATTTCCTAAATATCAGTAGATTTCTGCTTTCTTGTGTGAAATGGGGAATGCTGTTCCCTGTTTGTGGTGGAGGATAAAAGTGCTTTCCTGGTGAGTTACTCGGACAAAGGTGACAATGGTCACCATGCAAGAACCTAAAGCAGACATTCTTTGGAGCCCAGGGGTCAGTCACAGTGCACAAATCATGGTGTTGACTCAGCTGCAAACAGGAAGGACAGGGTCAGAATCAAACCTATAGCATTTAGGAGTTGAATACAACTGCTAAGCCACTGGTTTGTGTCGTAGCAACTCTGTGTTAATAATTTCTGATCTGCAGTGGCTTCTTAGGTGGATCATGTTTGCATTAGTGACAATACTTTTCACATAGAAAATTAAATAATTGTAATGACGCTCTCTGTCTCCTTGGTAAAATGACCATGATTTGGTCTGGTGTGGCCTGGACAATGAAATGTGTTCATGTGGAGGCCTGGAGAGTTGCTGTAGTACTGAAGAGAGCTGATATATGGCTGAAAGTCAGCCAAAACCACTGCAAACTGTGTAGGCAGGATTATGTAGCAGAACTTCATAGGTTTTAAAGAAAGATGGGGACAACCTTTTTGGCAGGGCCTCTTGCAATAGGACAGAGAGTAATGGCTTTAAACTAAAGGAGGGTAGATTTAGACAAGTATAAGGAAGAGGTTTTTTACCTTGGGTGTGGTGAACCACTGGAACAGGTAGCCCAGAGGTGGAAGATGCCTCATCCCTGGCAACATTCAGGGTCAGGCTGGAAGAGCTCTCAGCAGCCAGCCCTAGGTGGGAATGTCCCTGCTCATTGCAGGGGTTGGACTAGATGGCCTTTAAAGGTTCTTTTCCAACCCAGACTGTTCCATGATTCTGTGGTGATTTTGCAGGTCCTGTGCAGCTGCTGTGTGGGAAGTTGCTGTTGTGCTGCCTGGTGACCCCATGGTGACACATTATTGTCATGGCATTCAGCAGCCCCTGCAACGAGCTTGTCTGCTAATGGGGCATATTGTCCTCCAGGGTTGAGACCATGGGAGCACTGGAGAGCTCCATCCTCAAGAAGCCATTTCCAGTGTGGGCTAACCTGCTGCTCTGATATGCCTGTCTTAAATCAGGGAGGAAGAGGTCTGTCTCAGTAAGAGCATGCTAATACACTGGATTTTAGAGCCTTGAAGTTTCAGAGTCACATTGTGGGATATTTAATTATTTTTCTTTTGTGTGTGTTTTAAATTCAATTTTCCCAGTGATATCACTGGAGGTACTGCTGTTGAACATAGTAGATTATTGTGCTTCATTGAAAAGATTGTTGAACTGTCATTTCTAAATCCAGACAATGCATAGGTGAAGTCTTTCTTTGGGAGACAAACCTGTGACCTAATACAGGTGTAAAGACAAAAATGCTCTTAACTTATTTTGTAAATTCCATTCCTTATTTTCCATTAAAAAAAACCAAAAACACCCTTAAATGCATTTTTCTGTCCACAGATAGCAGATTTATCTTTTGTGTTCAGTGGAAAATAGTGCATTATGAGGGAAATGAAATAAAGAGTAAGGGGTTTTTTTATTACTTTCTAGCCAGCAAGTGTGAATTTTCACCCATACTGGGTGGCTGAAAAGTTGAAAGGGAAAAATAAACTAAAAACCCTTTTGCCAGATGCATGACAATTTAGGTGCCAAATGCAGTTACAGATGTAGAACATCTGTAATTTTTTTTTTAAAAAGGTAACCAAAGGTAGGTGATCAAGGGCACATGTTATTGGAATTGCTTTGGACAAGTTTGTTGCATCTATTTCAGAGTAAGCCTTTTTTTGTTTTGAGTCTAGGATGGCTGACTTAAACAAGGAGTGTAGCTGTGGAGAGGTGTGGTCTAGAAGAGTCTTAAGGAGATGAAGATCTAAGATGTAGATTAGAGCTACACCAACAACAGGATCTTGACCAGAAGCCTGGAGAGCGACTCAGCTGGGCTCTGAATGACTCTTAGAGCCTCATGTAGAGAACAGTCTGCTTGTATGGCTGGACTTGCAGGGTTACAGGATTGTGTAAGTCATATTGCCTCGGAAAGGGACCAGAGAAACACCTGCTTCTTCTTTTAATGGATGCAACCTTCTGGCTGATTCAGTGCAAAAAGCAACAGCGTTATTTAAAGGCAACGTTTATTTGGCAAAGGAAGAAAAATAATCCAGAGCACACATGTACACTGAAGATGGATTTGAAATGGATCCTGCAACAGGTTGTGTGTGTGTGGTGCTGAGCATCATTCATTCATACTCTTTACATTTGCACATTCTGAGCAGGTACAAGGACATCTCAAGTGATAAGTATAGGCCTGGAAGTAAGAACTTGTAGAGAATCAAAAAGAAATAACCATCAGTTCTGACTGTGCCTTAAATCACTAAAATAGAAGCTGAAATCCACATGCATTTTACAAGCAAGGGTCTGCCACTTTGGAAGGATCTCCTCACCCAGGAGATGTTAGCAGGTAGGTTTTTTTCCTTTGTCCTGTTTCTGTCCTGGTATTCTGCTTGGCAAATATGAAAAGCAGGATTGTTTTGTGAAGGATAAAAGTGTCATTACATACATGAGGCCAAAACCTCAAGAATCAGAGCCCTTGACAGCATCAGTGCATTACAGTGGACACTTGTCCATAATGATACAGCTCTGGTTCTATGGACAAACGAACTGTTCTGTCTGTGGCTGGTTCCTGTGCAGAACAGGTTTTGCTGATGCTTCAGTTGCAAGTATCTGGCTCTTCCTGCATAATTTCTATCCTGGCCCTGCCCAGTCTGACTAAAAGTTGTCAAGTCCTAGAACTGTCTTTGTGATTCAGTGGCTGGTCAGCATGTAGCAGTCCTGACTGGAGAGGGACATGAAATTTGTAATTGTATGAGGATGTGAGGGAAAGGGAAGGGGATGGAAGGGGAGTTTTTTGCCATTAAAAGCCTTACATTAAAAAAAAATCTTCCCAGAGTAGTTTCCAAAAGCTAGGGGAGGAAAGTATGATACTTCTTTCCTTTTTGTAAGGAGGAGAAGTGGATATTTGTTTAATTAAAATCTATGGGAGAGGGACCAGCTAAAACATTTTAATATTGGGGGTTTTGCTTGGTCAAATTCTTGAAATGTCGGGAAAACCTTGATTGCAGTAAAGGATGGGTTTTGTTTCTCTGGATAGCCCTTTTCACACACACCCCTTTGCCTCCAGCAGAGGAGGAAAAGCAGGTGGTAGGTGCAGGTCAGTCAACACTGGAGAGCTCTGGGCCCTGCATCTGCAGCAGATATTGGCTACTGTATCCACAGACACCTGCTCTGGGCTCCCCTATCCTGCTGCCATGACCAGGAGGGCCGTGCAGCATGGTGGGCGCTCTTCTCTTGGCCCCAAAACCAGCCACCCTTGCTCTGATGCCGGGGGTCCCAAGCCCCCAGTCTCACAGGATTTCCCCCAAGGCATTGCTGTTGGCCCCATGGAGACAGTTCACAGCTTTTGAAGGTGAAGCTGTCCTTTAGCCAGACCAGTGTCCCAAGTGTGTCAAAACAAGGTGATAAAAACACAGTTGCTCCTGAAACTGCCCTCAGAACGTCCCAGCTTCAGGTGACACCAGAGCTCACCAGTACTGCACTGGTAACCACTGTGCCAGTGGTGCTCTCACTGCTGGTGTGGGACTCGGGTATCACAGCAGAGCTGCTCCGAGTCTCCTCCAGAGACCAGTTACTGAGGGTTTGTCACGTCCAGGTGTGAGGAGGGTGGCCTGTGTGTGGCCTCGTTGATCTGTCCTTGCACAAGGAGGGCTATGCCTCTGAACATGGTGCACCATCAACTTGCCTGCCCTAGTGCCTCAACTTTTAGCTGGAAGAACCTTTCCAAAGCTGCACGTGATGGGCTTGTGAGGGTGTCAAGCCAAAGAGTTAGCAAAGTGTGTTCCAGATGTGTTACAGATCAGGAGCCAGGACACTGTTTGGCACTGCAGTGTCTTCATTGATCCACACTGGGGATAAGGTGGAGAAGAGTCTCTCTTGTGGTAGGCCCTGGGCCCAGCCTGCATCACCTGCCTGGAGACATGGGCGATTCTGAGAGCAGAAGCAGTGATTCCTACAGCAGGACACAATTCAGGAAAACAGCATTCACGTAAGAGGTGAAATAGGATTTTGGTGAGTGATGGAAGTCCAAAAGAAAGGATGTTGCTGACTGGCCAGTGCTATGCTCAGGTGCTTCAGCTGATGCTTCTTAGACCTTCTCAAACCACCTGGGTAATGCAAGCTGGCTTCCTTGAATGCATCTTTGATGGTGTTTTTTTTGGAAAATAGAGGAAAGAAGGGAATTCTGGCCAGAATACCAGGGCTGCAAAGGTAACCTTTCTGTTGTGGGTGAGCCCAAATAAGACCTGCCTTGATTTTGGAAGAGCAAAGATGTATGGCAAATCAAGCAGTTTTGGGGGATGAGGGGGAGGAGAAGATGCCAGGGTTTGGCCAAACGGAGGGAAATTCAGTCAGGTAGAGATGAAAGCTAGCAAGTTCCTGTGCTTATTGGACCTGCTGGTTGAGCTCCACTGCAACCCAAAGCCTGGCCCTGCCCTGTGCTAGAAAGAGCAGGA